CTTGTTTGAAAATTCTTCTTTTATCTATGATTATCGATCATTTAGCATTTTAGCGAGTACTTCTTTTATAATACTTCCATTATTATTATTAATATTATTTATCCTCTCTAGAAATTTATTGCCAGCCATTTTGTAGTCTCATCATGTATACATGTCGATTATCAGATCATGCTAGGTAAATGCTTCGCCTAACTAATCGGATTTACATAAAATGGTTCAAAGGAGAAAATATGCAAGAATAATAGAAGAATAGAAGAGCGATTACGTCATCTTGTCCCATCAACAATACAATGACAGACTTCTCCGAATAGCTCCGTACAAATTATCTTTAACATGTAATTTATATCTTAATAATTTTAATGAAAAGCGTAAGGGATTGTATTTTTATGAAAATCGATGTTTATTGTACTATTATTCAAGTTTTTGACAATATCCAATTTTTATTTTACCAACCTTTATTTTATCGTGAAAATTTGTCTTATCGAATTTCTTTGTAGAGCAAAAATATAACAGAATGAGATTTTGAAACAAGTTGGTTTTGCGAATGCAACGTTTGTGCGTAATGAATTTAGTGAATAATTCGAAACATTTACAATTAATATTTTCAATAAATTTATTACAGATATAAGACTAATTTATAAACGTCGGTCTCAAAAAATATTTCAAAACTTTATTTCTCACTCTAATGGTGAGATAAATTTTTTTCATAATCTTTATCATATACCTCACATTACATCACACATACCTTACGTTACATCACATTGCATTTATCATAGTTATGTACATTTTTTATTTGATATTGCATCATATATGCGCAGCGATACAGACGTCCGCCCGTTCTTAATCGATCGATATTGAATTTTGTAAGACATTTCAACGAGCTATCGCGAATTCTGAGAATACTTTTTATCATCGCAAAATAACTCACTCATTTTCGGACGATATTGGTTACATGACTTTCAGGTCTCATCATATTTGCACAGAGAGATATCGCATATATATTTATTCAATGAATATATGCTTTTACTGACTAATCAACTGTTTGATTTCTATTCTTTCAAGCTGCCATACGATGGGCGTGGACAATGAAAAGGTAACGTATCAATGCATTATTCTCACACTGAAGATTGAATTTGCAAAGATTTTATGTAATTAATTTAATGAAAACATGCAATGTAAGCATAAAAATGGGATTTTAATGCGTTTATTTTATTTTATTTTCTATGTGTGGAAGAAATATTTTAAAAAGTATAGATAAGAATTTGCAACAATGACTTAACTTTTATGTTACTATTTTAAGATATTAAATAATTAATGTTTATATTAAAAGGATTAAAATTTATTTATCCCTTATCTATTTAAAAAAAATGGATTAAACTAATATTATATTAAACCTTCTAACAATAAGTATGTATACCTTTATGTTTGCCATCTACGCACCTCCATCGCTCGTATATGATTAGTGTAATTAAACATTTTGCTCTAGTCAAGTGACGATATTGAGGAACAGGCGTCAACACCAACGGCCCTGACTCCGACATCGAAGGTAATCTATCTTTCTCCTATATTAATTCTCGAGTATAATTATCAATTTGCACAATAGAAAATAAATATGATGAGAAAATTTGATATTTTGAAAATTTTCAAGATATATTTAAAAAATATTATTTTTATTTACCATGTATCGTGTTTCACATAGATTGTTTAATTAAATTATTAATTAAGTTGAAGTGTTAAATTGACAAAGTTATATTTGGTCTTATTATTAATTAAATGAAATGAATATCTCTATCAATTTTTTATTTATTTTATATATTTTTTCGATGCAAAATATATCCAGGCAGCCATACCCGAGGATTAAATAAATTAAATACTATTAACATTTTCCATCATTCAAAGATTTACAGAGCAAAACATTCTACAAGCGCTTATCCAGCTTGTTAACCATCCAAACACGATAACGCTTTGACATTTACTTACGAAATTTCTTATGAAATTAATCTTAACTTTTTTTCTTCATATTTTTTTCTTTTACACGCAGACTGCCGCGACCGATAAGGATTGGGTAAGTATAACCAGCTGTTACCATGCATTTATCGTCGATGCTCCTCGAGAAAGTGAATTAAATCGCTTCAAGAGAAATGCATTCACATAACGTGACGAATGACGTTGTTGATGTCTCGCCAAAGTCATTGACTCGCAAATTATCGCAATGTCTTGTCCCGCGTTCCATTAGCGGAATACTGTCAGATGTGTGCAAGCGCGCGAGTTCTGCAAAACAAAACGTCTCGCGTATATGTACACGTATGTACATATATATTATAATCGAAAGACAATTGAAATGAAGATTGACTATTGAAGATTAACATCACTATACTAAATTAAAATCATGAGAATAAATAATATCGACATGATTGCCGTATATTCGCGGTTACCAAAAGCGAGCTGTACCACGATAAACGGGACACAAAGTCCACAAAAGATAACATTCTATCGCGGCAATGTGTTGAAATTTCGGTGATTATTTAAGGGGGCGAGGGAACAGAGGTACCATCCAGACATCGGTCTCTCGCTATAACTCGTCGATGATAAAAAATATTTAAAAAACATTAAGATTCCTGGTATTAAGAAAATAACACAAAAAAAATTTCTGATAGTGGATTGCAAATCAATATCGATGTAAATATTAAATAATTTTTTTTTATTTTAACGTTATTACGTAATACAATAATTAATTTACGTTAATAATTTTGTAACAATTTAGTAACAGATATTATTATTGGATAAGTAGCGACTAAAATTTAATATTTTGACAGATATTTTTTATCCTGATAGAAACTGAGCTCGCGATATAAACATTGAGGTACCTAGTTTTAAACGTGGATGACAAATTGACGCCAGACGTTTGTTTGACATGTCTGGTTTAACAGAGAGCCGTTAAATTTGTAGAAGGCTTTACTTTGTTTCGTGATGACTCCTACTGGTAGTAATGGAGGCACATACATTTAGACCGGTATTTACATGCAAATTGGATCTCGTGTCGTCAGCTTCGGGCGACGCATTATGACAATTAATAACAATTGCTTCTAATAGTGAATAATCGGGTCTGCCTATTGTGAGTCTAAAATCTATTTGTATCGATATTTATAGCAAATTTTAATCATTATCTAAAGTAGGACGAAGAAGATGAGACAGAGCTTTGCTTTTTTTGGAGTAATCTCTTTCTCATCGCAATTTTACTCTTCTCTCCTCTTGATATAAATAAAAAATTTAACCAATATATTATTTAAAACGCGTTATTTCGTGATATCATTTTTATAATACGACAGTATTTGTGTTGTGTGTGTGCGCGCGCGCGCACACACACACACACATCTGGCATCCTGTATTTATTTTATACTGAATTATGATGTACAATAAAGTGATCAAGTGTTTGGCTTTAATTCGGTAAATATTTATAATGATGCATTTGTTAGCGATAAAGTAAATTACACACTACTACGCTGCTCGTGAGTCAGTTCAATGATGTTTTAAAGATCTCTTTCTTTCAAAACTTTTTCTCGATTAAACAATAGATTTGAAAATATGCTGGTGCAATTTATTGGTTCATAAAATTAATGAAGCCCGAGATTTTGAGATATATGTATAAAAAATACATTTCATTATAATAGAATAATATTCATATTTATTCATATATTTAATTATTACTTTCAATACACCTCGAATGGCATTATTACACACAAAGAACTATGCTGCATCAGAGGCAAGACGAATCTCAAAGTTGATAAGTTCGTTGGGATATGTGCGCAAAGTCGCAGAAGTGGTCCGCTTCAATACGGCTTAATTATAAAATTGACGCTTACTAACGTGACCTAACCGGCCGTCATTAACAAACCGCGTCCGGTATCGTGTGTACTCTCCGGTATGGACCGTCTGAAGTGCGCGCTCTCGTAAGAAATGTGAAGAGGATTGCGTCAAAGTGCAAAGACTAAGAGAAGTGCCACGTGTATTACCAGTTCTTTTTTTCTGAGACGACAAAGTGCGCGTAACGTTTGCTTAAGACCATAAATTCTATACCTGAGCTAAGAATATTCTATAGGGGTTAGAGCATTTTTGGAAGGACTCTGTGGGAATTCTTCTCTCACGAGCACGCGACACACACACGCAAATCTTTTAAGAATACCTGATCCACATAGGCGAGAATAAACCCAAAATATTTTGAAATAAGAGTACTTTAAAAACATTTTTGAGAATAATCGCGAGAGAGAGAGAGAGAGAGAGAGAGAGAGAGAGAGCAAATCTGATTCTTAATTAATAATAGATAATATTTATACACATTTGGATAATACTATATTTTAGAATAACCTCTTGTTATCCTTTATATTTTATAATAAATCTCAGCGACATATGTGCGATCAATCCTAGTTCAAAAGTTTTGTGCAATATAACACGTTGTTGTTATTGCTTTCCGCTAATAATAATATGCGTCTCTCTCTCTCTGTCTTTCTCATCACGCGTTATTTATATCGATTCTTGCCTCGCATCGCAAAACACTCCCGTTTTTTTCCTCGTAATACGAGTACGACTAGAATTACTACGTGTCCGATATTCCGAATCGACCGCTCAATTGGATCGCGATGTTCGCAGTTTTCATGTGTTTTTCTCGACGCAAAATCGAAGAACTTTCGCGCGCCGCGAAATTATTTATCTGCTAATTCTTAAATATCCCTTCGTATTTGAAACAAATTAATATTGGTAATATTCAACCATTGTTAACTTTAAAATTATGTATAATTCCACTGGAAACTCTTGCATGCTCTTGTCGTAGGCTTTCGTAAATCGAGTCATTATCGAGTGCCGCGCCTTTTGCGCTTCGAACTGCTCGGTAATCCGGTATTTCTTTTCTTTTTTTTTTATAGTAAGACAGTCCCCCCCCCCCCTTTCGCCACGGCAGGGGTGCGTGGGACGGTGAAAGGTTCACGCGACCGGAATCCAGTCCTGAGGTCGCCAATCACGTTGTCGTTGTATCGGTCCAGGAGGAAGAGGGGGACACGAAGGAAGAGAGCGGGGTCTTTTGAAAATCGGCTTCGGTTATACCATCACACGAATGTCGGTGACAGTCGCGCGCGCTCGCGATCGTGATACGGAGGTTTCGTTCGTCGGAGTCGTCATCTCGGAATTTTTCTCCGCTCGAGCGCAAATTTTCAAAATCGTCACTCTCCTCGTAGTCGATATTTTCGAGGAGAAAATATATAATATATGTGGAAGAGAAAGAGTGACTAAAATTTTGAAGAGAGACATACGATTCTAAAAGAACGAGAGATACAGAGAGATAAAAAAAGACAAGTGTATCAAGTGTAGCGCACGGATTATTTGCTTTAAGCAACATGGAGCTCAAGGTAAAACTCTCTCGAACGAGAGAAGACATCTGCTTTTTTTATGCTCAAAAATAAACAGCATATATAAACAAAGTATATGTTAACAATTTTTAATAGAAAAAGCTGAATTTGTGGAGTCGATTTTTTTTAGTACGGTTTTCCGAATATATCTTTGTAATTAAGTCGCAGAATTAAATGTTTGTTAAACTAAACTTTAATTAAAATTGAAAGACGCGAATACGATTTTGTTCTCTATCCGTTATTCTGAAAACTTAATTCACAAAAAGCCTCTCTTCGATCGCAAATTATTCAAAAGTTATTAGTATCTTAGCTTTATTTTCATTAAAGAAATACCGAGGTAAATTAGATAAAAAATCACTTATTTGTGCCAATCACAAATGTACCTGTTATATCAAGATTCCTCTAAAGAGTCTAAAGGTTAATGCTAGAATTGATATGCGACGAAACCGGATAATAATACGGACTTTCCATTCGAGAGAATGAAAATAAAGGTTTGTGAAAAGGTCGATTCGACATATTTTAAAATTTAACGGTCGTAACTATTATCGAGCACCATCAAAATTTAACAACTTTATCCCAAAGTTGATCCCACGTAAAATTATTCACGACTCTAATCGAGTGTTACTAAAAATATGTCTGGGAAGAATAAAAGATATTTCAGATATCGCTTGTAACATCCGTATGACTAAAAGAATATTTGGTAAGTTTGGACGTTATATACTGGAGTCAAACGGATTCAAACATGCCAATCGTATCGATTTGTTCGGTTCAATGAACTTTTTACTCGTAAAAATATACAAAATTTACTCCATAAATCTGTTTTTTCTCATTTTTCATATTTTCTGTACATAATATGAAACAAAAACATAGTAATAGTAATAATTGTAATATAGTAATAATACCGTGACTTATATCGTACTCTAGAGTTATGTACTTCCTTTAAGCGCGTGTCATAACAAGACAATAACATGACATGAACGATACTTATTGTTGGCTGAAGATAAACATACGTTTTGATAAACACACTTGTTTTTCAATTATTTCGTCATCATTTAGATCATCCCAATTATCTAATTAAATTTAGACCAAACGTCGATTCAATAAAACTGAAAATTTTCATTTTGTTAAATAAAATCACCGTTTGCTCATATTGCAAAAATATTGCAGAAAAATTAATCAAATAAGATATTAAACAGATTTAGTATATCGAAAACTTGAGATCTTTTTTTGAGTCTAGTGGTGCTACAAAGGCTGCAGTTTCGCGTTGCGCGGCGATTGGCTTCGATTCGATAATAATCAAAAACGGAGGAAGTACCTCATCAGTGCTCCTTGAATACAGTGTATGAGTAACAAGAGCTAGTCGAAAGCTCCCATTGAAAACCATTATTGTCATCAGGCTCCATTTTCGCGGCATATGAAACAATACGCTATTATCGCACGTAGAATTTTAATGATAATCCTTCGTCGAAAAAAATGGAATCGCTTGGGAAGTCTATTAATCATGCGGAATAGGATGACACGGACGGCAATTGAATCTTTTGTCCTTCCCGAGAACACGTGACATTTTGCATTTTAATATAAGTTGTTCGCACGTGTAACACCTTGGAACAATCATTAACATAGCTAAAATGATTAGTGCTGCATCGTCATATTTGAATTGGAATTCCAAGAAGATGATTACGCATGATTATCATAATGCGCAAATGGTCAACTTACTACGTATTGATCGTTTTGCGATTGTATAACTTGAAGAATCCATATTAATAATAGATGTACCATAAAATTACTTTCTTTGCAGTGTCTGATCATTCTGAAGATTCGAGATCTTTTTGTGTCATTTTTTTTTTGCTTGAGAATAGCGAAGATCAGATTAAAAGAAAGACAATCAGTTTCAATTTTAAAGAAAAAACAAAGATATAAAATCGCATTACGTTTTGTTGTGCGAACAAACTCATCGATATAAAAATTAACATATCTGATATCTCGACTTTTCCGTAACACTATTCATGAACTCTCATTCACAATACTATCGTCACGATGCAAAATGGGCTGTAGCCCAAATACCGAAACTTTTATTTGTAGGACGCTCATTAAATCGCTGATATTTTCTCAAGAAGAGGTCAAGTACTTTCTATGACCTAACATCAAAAGGATAATATAAAGCCTTTCTATTTTAATCAAACGTATAAACTTCCGTAAGATCTATCTAATCGTTAAGAAAGAATCGAAAATTAAATCGAGAGGAGAACGGAAAGAATTCTAACGGTGTTAGACAAGACGTAGAAAAGCGATGCTAAGTACGTGCCGAAAGCCGAAAAGCCTGATATCGAACCAGATATCGAGGAGGCAAGAGCAGTCGCGGACCTTGTACGGGGGCGCGCGATTCTTTCGCCAGGCGGGCTCGTGGCCCGTCAAAATTAGCGACTTGGCGAGGTAACCAGGACAACGGCATTTTGAAAACGGGCAGAAGACGCTCACAAACGAATGTCAGCGCGCCGCGTTCGCGCGGCGCGATTACTCGAGCTATTTTTAGCGCGTTCGAGCTTCCCGTCGTCGCCTGCCGCCACTTTCACGGGAGGCTCGACCGTCGGCTGCACCAATTGTGCCGCGACACGCCTTCGCCACGACCAATGTAGTCGCGTGAGGATTTCGTTACGAGCATACGTATACGCGCGGACGAACAGCTTGCTCTTTGTGACGCGAGATACGTCACGACGGTCTGGAACTTCGCTACGTAGGGAACGACGAAATATCCCCTTACGCGCGTGACCGCGATGCGTGTATTTGTGATACCCGCTGTGCGTGCCGCACGCTGCACACAGTTACAATACACGCAGTCAGCCGTTGTAACGGCTTCTAAGATCATAGGCGTCACCTTTAATCAGAACGAATACTGATCGTTTAAATAAAAAATTTATTTTGCTCTTCTTGCATCGACAAAAATTAATTTTAAATCATCTTCAAAACCACAAATTGTAGTTCTGCAATTTAGGCTCGAGTTCTTCTCTGTAAAAAAAAAACCATTCTAATTGCAGAATTAGAATCGGTAGAAAAAATAAAAAAAAGATTCTTACACTTGAAATAAAGTGTAATATTAAATTCAGTATTTAACTATTAATTAGAAATAAACAGGTAGAAAAAGAAAAAATTCAATTTAAAAGCTAATTCTCCGCTTTGATGAATTAGAAATTCAATTTCACGGAATGAATTCCTGTCAACTTTTCTTTCAACTCATTGTCAGCTATGTATATTTACTTGCAGAAATGTTTCATCGTTCTGACAGGTTTCTCATGAATTTTGTAGTAGAAAAGAAATAATATAGAATCCGCGTAAAATGCACATTTTCCGTCTAAAAATAAAATAAAATTAGATTGACAGAATTGTATTCCTATGAAATAACAGCCTTTTAAAGAGCCTAGATATTATATAAACCTTGTGATACAAAAACTTATGGAGAGTAATTGATGAGACGGTAACGATAGAAATGCGAATTCAGGTCGTTTCCAAGGTCTCATGCCTGCCGACCATGATCTAGATGGCTTTATCCGCTGTCTCATGTGCGATCAATATCACTCAATTTTGTAGTAATACACGCACTCAAGTGCAAGGATATTGCGGATTAATTACGCCTAGGATCGACACCCTTGCATGGATTCGCGTACGTGCGGTTTTTAACACGAATTAAAGCTACGGATATTAAGATTTTATTAAAGACCCAGAATTAAACGGAATTAAAAGAAATATTTTTTTTCTCAATTTGCTCTCGATGAAACTTTCTGTTTAAATTGACACTTTTTAATCGTTTACTCTTCCATTTTTATCTTTATTTTTTGTTTTACAAAATTATTTATCCAATTAGTTTGTTTCATTGACTTTGCACTTTGCGCGATTCTTTTAAATATACATATATCTACATTTGATATAAGATGTAATTGTGTGGAAATTAAGTAACCTTCAAATTAAGTAAATCTTTAAAAACGAATAAATATTTGACAGCGACTTTTTACGTCAGTATAAATTGCGAGTCGTTTTAGCATTGGTAATCTCTTCGGTTGTGCCCCTATATTAAATTCGCGATACGTAAATACTGTTTATAAATGGAATGGATATCGGTGAGGAAAAATAAGTGTGTGCAGCTCGCTATTCCGTATTTTCCGCTTGATTGCACTTTTTTTTGTTTCGAATTGCAAGCATACGTAACATAACATTTGTATTTTGCTCTCAAAAATCAGAATTATAATCGATGAGATCGATAAAAAACCATTATCCGAAATTATAAAATTCCCAACTTGCGAACTCATCGTCAGAGTGTCTAACTGATTAAAAATTGAATATTTTTATTTCTATTTTTATTTTTTCATTATAGAAAGAATATACTAAAATAAAATTCAATTTCTGTTTATATGCGGTCTAGGTTTAAAAAAACAACTTATATTTCACAGATTAGATATTTAACATATAAATCGCTGTTTCGTTTTAATTAAATAATTTTTATTAAATACGCTTTAATAAGTGAGCTTTAATACGATTATACATTGAACGTTCTATGATATCTTAACCAAGAATACCGTACATTTCCACCCATATTAGTAATAGATGTTAAATAATACGAACTGTCAAGATTTAGAATGACGCGAATCACCGATAAGTGCCTTTTGCGTAACACTTTTTTCTTTGCATTTTCGAGAGGTCATTTCGAGAGGTCATCGTATCAATTTCTACTTGCAAAGCAATATCGCGATATTGTAACATTTTTCATTATATAAAAAATTCGAACGGATATTTTTCATTATTAAATGCAACGCATGGACATTGTTGTTTACGATTGTATTTGCGAATATCGGCGGAAAAAACGGCAAGAACATATGATGTAACAGTTTATTTTTTTGTGCAGTTCAACAACTTTAGAAGAAATGTTTACGCTGCAGGTAGAGATCCGTTTATTTGCGTGAAAAATTTCTATGACGCGCGAGCAACGATCGATACATCATCACGAGACGGGAATTTAGCACTGTTGCGTTGCACAAACTTTGGATCTCTCATTTGCATTGGCGCATAAACTGACGCGAATATTTCCTTCGGTGTACACAATACAACATTAACAAACATTCATCTGTCGTGAAATATCCAATAATTACAATATTGCGAATGTCGTTCGAACAATCTGCATCTATCTCTCTAGCTTACTGACAATTAACTGGACCGTTTAGCTCAACAAGATCTGATTTTGCTCGCATCAATTTTGAGAATTGAATTAACTCAAGTACTTATTGTTAGATAAAGATCGCGGAAACAAAATCGTAAAACGGAAACTTACTGCACCGTAAACGCTCTAATAGATTTGTTTACTTTGCTGCTCTCTTTTCATATTCGCAACAGAATAAAGATATACTCTTATAGCGTTTTGAGAGATACGAAGAACTGAAAAATGAAATGAGAAGCGAACAAAACAAATTGCAAATAATTGCTATTTATTTTGTAAGAAGAGTTTAAAGTCCGATGTGCGAAATGGAATTCTTTCGGTGAATTCCAATCTCGGTGCATAGTACATGGCATTGTTATCGTATATCCGTGTACGAAGTGCACTCGGCTATCGGATCACCGATGTCAAAGAAGTCTCGCAACATTGTCAAAAATGCATTGATAAATATTTACGTAAGTGCTATGCATATGTAAACATATCCATTCGAATAATATAATGATGATGATGCGCTTTATTTGCAAATCCTGTCAGACTGATGATCAGTGCATTTTTTACATTCCCCATGCAATTATTACGAAATTTAGAGAATATACAGATTAAAATTTCACTTATTTCAGTCGAGAGATTTTTTTGTCGATATATAATATTTAGTTTCGATAATGTTATTAATTAAGATTTAATATAATATAGCGAGTGTAAGACTCAACATTGAGTAAATCATAATAATCCACGAAAAATAGATAAATTAAAATGAATCGAAAGTAATTCAGATCTGTAAGATTGAATAATTAAGTCTCGCTATTAGCGATTTGTCTTTTGCTTTTTTTTTACAATGTTTTATATATGTATATATAATGAAATACCAAGTGTAGCAACGGATTCGTTTTAATAAGATATAATTTATGCGCTTACGCCATTGGCACATAAGCTTCCGTGCGTAACGATAACGAAGTATCGGTTCTCCATGGAAATGATGCGCGTATGCGTGCATATGCACATGCTGCACTATGCAAACCCAACAAAAAAAAGATCATTGAGTAATGTACATATATCGTAGCGCCGTGTTAAATAACACGAACACATACGCACGCATGAGATATGCGTGTATCTTCCGGAAAGATATGTACATGACGCGCATACGCGTGTATGCGTGCGGGTTGTGCGGTCTCCTAGTATAAGAATGACCAGTGGGGATGCCGACGCACCAGTCTTCGGCACGTGTTCCGAGTACTGAAGAACGATACTATATACATTATACATTAAGACGAGCCGCGAGACAAACGCAATTCTTTCGTTTAAGTGCTGAGTGATCGTCGCTCGGTGAGAGTGAAATTGGAACGTGATCGAGAGTGCGTATCAGTGCGTGTCTCCGCACGAAGAAATCTTTCAGGATGACGATAAAATCGGCCGAGTTTGACGGTCCATATTTGAAAAGAACGGTATGCACTCGTCCTCGAAAAAGTAGTTTTTCTGGTATTCGAGAAGGGAAACAGAGACGAAAGAAACTCGATCTCTACGGATAATTTCCTCTTAAATCTATGTGTGTGAGAGACGTTTCTTTTTTCCTGTATATATAATATATACGGGGAAAATATTCTAATAAAAATAAAAATGCACGGGAATATCGACAAGTAGACATATTTTTTATCTATTGAAAAATAGATCGTTTTTTGCGAATATTTCGCAGTTTACTGCGACAGATGTTCGATTCTTCCGACTTGACTCTAAATGCCAGGCAATATTTTACATTATACTGGCGTGTTGCATATCCATTGCTTCATTAAAATACGCCTTATCAATATTTGCATTTCAAGAAGGAATAATGACATTATTTCGAAAACGTTAAGGAAATATTCCTCTTACGAGAATTTTTCAAAAGTATTTTTTTTAGAATTTTAATATATCTCCAAATTAATTAAAATTCTATAAATGTTATCTGATTGTATGCATTTCTCAAACAAGTATTTTCTCTTTTAATATCAGATAAAAATAATATATTAAATACAATAATTCTTCTGTAATAACTTTAAAATAAAATTTCCCATATCGATTTTTGCCGTAGGGTCTCAACGGCCGGCTAGCGTTTGCTATCGCGGCGGCCGCTCTCGGCTCATCGTTTCAGCATGGATACAACACCGGTGTAGTTAATGCACCTCAACAGGTACGGATATTAATTTAACTTAATCGTAAGACATTCTTAAAATATCTTACATTGATCATTTGCAAAAACACTTGTCAAAATTGTTACATTTGCTCTTTTTCTTTTTGTTAGTGATACAAGTATATACCATATAATATATTATGTCAGACCGTAAAATATTAGTGATGTGCAGAAACGAAAAAAGAAAAAAAAATGACGAATAAAAATAATGAAAATTACTAAATAAATATTCTAACATTTGTTAGCTAATTGAGGACTGGATCAAAGACCTGAAGACGAACCGTACGGGTGTTCCGACGGAAAAGACAGAGGTGACGTTAATCTGGTCGTTGGCGGTATCGATATTTTGCGTCGGTGGAATGATAGGCGGTGCTCTGGTGGGCTGGGTAGCGGATCGCTTCGGCAGAAAAGGCGGTCTGTTGCTGAACAATATCCTGGTCCTAGTGACTGTGATCTTCGAGGGTAGCGCCAAGGCGGCGAAGAGCTATGAAATGATAATCGTCGGCAGATTCCTGATCGGTATAAACTCCGGATTGAACGCTGGCTTGGCGCCGATGTATCTGGCCGAGATCTCGCCTGTGCATCTACGCGGTGCTGTGGGCACCGTCTACCAGTTGGTCATCACCATCTCGATTCTGGTATCGCAGATCCTCGGCTTGGAGCAGATCCTCGGTACCGCCGAGCAATGGCCGTTGTTGCTGTGCCTGACGATCGTACCGGCATTCTTCCAGATATGCACGCTACCTCTCTGTCCCGAGAGTCCCAAGTACCTGTTGCTCAACCGCGGCAAGGACATGGATGCGCAAAGAGGTAGGGAGGAATATTTAATTTATTACAGCACGAAAACGGTGAACGTAGGATTGCAACTTGTAAAATTAGGTGGATTCAAAAAAATGTTTATTTTAAAAGAAATTTATTTTTGAGTATTCGGTCTTCAAAATTGCAAATTGCCTCTTTGAATCTGTCGCTTTATGCGTCATAGAACAAGCTCGAATCCTTTGTTCCGCCTGCTCGCCTTATCGGCTTTGTGTCCTTGAGTTTTGTGTCTTTCTAAATATCGTTTTCCTTTTCTCTGTAATAGCGCTGTCCTGGTTGCGTGGCACGATCGAAGTGCATGACGAGATGGAAGAAATGCGAGCAGAGTACGAGTCGGTGAAATTGGTGCCGAAGGTCACTGTGCGCGAGCTATTTGTAAATCCAGCGCTTCGTATCCCGTTGTTCATCTCGATCATGATTATGTTCGCTCAGCAGCTATCCGGCATAAATGCCGTAATGTTTTTCTCAACGAAGATCTTCAGGATGGCGCAACTCGACAAGCATGCCGCCCAGAACGCCACGATGGGAGTCGGCGCGATGAACGTCTTCATGACCATCATCTCTTTGGTGTTGGTAGAGAAGGCAGGCAGAAAAACGCTACTCTTGGTCGGATTCTTCGGCATGTTCGTGGATACCGTTCTACTCGCCATTTGTCTCGTATTCGCCGTAAGTATCTCTCGTCTTTCAGCTAATCAAGGTATACGCGATACTTTTCAAAAGACGTCAAAATCATATAACGTCGGATATTTTATTTGCACATTGTAGGACACATCGCGAGTGGCAGCATATTTCTCAATTGTGCTTGTCATCATGTTTGTCGTTCTCTTCGCCACCGGACCAGGAAGTATTCCGTGGTTCCTGGTGTCGGAGTTGTTCAATCAATCCGCCCGACCACCCGCTACCTCCATCGCTATCGCCGTGAACTGGACCGCAAACTTCATCGTCAGCATCGGCTTTCTGCCACTGCAAGAGGCACTAGGCGCTTACGTGTTCATCATCTTTGCGGTGCTGCAACTGTTCTTCACGATCTTCATATACAAGAAAGTGCCGGAGACGAAGAACAAGACTATGGAGGAGATCAGTAGCATGTTCAGGCAAATATCGTATCAGTGAGGAGTGCAGTCCTCACAGAAATGGGTAAAATATTTTTCAAAAACAAAATCGGCAGGAATGAACAATGAGTGCGTTCGTTCTCTTTTTTTCTTTCTCTGTCTGTGTCGAGGAATTCAGCGGTTTCGCAAAAGTGGCACACTATTCTATGGTCTATCGATGTGCTTCCAACATTCTGCCCATACGTAATATCAAAATTCACCGGTGCTCGGTGAATATTTGTATGTAATCACAATGTGTGCTACGATGTATTCGACATACGTTACAACCCGCAATCGTGCCAATATCTGGTAATCCGGAAATCTTAACTTTTTTATTATTTAATTATTTAACTCTTTTAGCGTTTTATCTTTAGTTTCTTTAACTCGGAAATTCCGTTTCACGTCAAGTTATACGAGCGCGCACATAATATGGTTTTGTCCTGGGGTTTAAATTGTATAAACTTACATATTAGTCTTAATTCCTACATGTTGCGTCCAGCGAAGAAAAAGTCAGATCGCGAGAAGAACAATTGAAATGGCGCGAAACGGCTTAAGAAACATGATTCTTTCACGAAGTCTTTTCGAAAAATGATTTGTTCCTTTAGGAACAATAATATACGCCATTATCTGTACCAGTACGAAAGATTTTACAGCTCTAGTCATGAGAAGACCTGTAGACGGAGTATAATGTTGGAAGAATCTTACACGCTGGCTGATTTTACTTTTATTGTCGAATCTCGAATCGGTTGGTTTTACATCGACAAATTCGTATCACTTCGTTAAATGAATTTTTAATGCGATATCGCGCGCAATTATATATTATATTTTCAAGAAATTAATAATGTCTCTCTCTTTCTTGAATACAATTGGGATATCTTTTATAGAATAACGGTTTTATGATAATGAATTAAAAGTTACGTTCTCACGATTACTGAATAATCGCATCGCGTTATTGTTGTAAAAAAAAATTTAAACCGTTGTTAAAAAGAATAGAAATGATTATAACGATGAGCGTATCAAATAGCCTTTTTACGAAATAATTTATAATGGAAATTTAAAGAATATTTTATTATACATAAACTGAAGCGCAAGTTTTATTCGAACGAGAACGGGAAGAATGATGTTTAGGATAATTGTAAATACAGAAATATGTAAAGACTATAGCATTGTGCATAGCATAGGGAATAATTATATTTATGCATGTAGATTTGATTAATGTTTAAGAATATATCAACGTCATCATATTTTTAAATTATTTAGATTAATTTTAATAGTATATACATATAAAAGAAAATATGCGATATACTAAACGTAACTCAGGAACTTATGCTGATCATAAATAGCAGAATGGATACAATGTTTTATTTTTATGCTGTGTTTCTTCGTGTCTCTCAAAGAATACTCATTAATAATCCGTTTTAGTAATAAAACGATGACAGATTATTGTAAAACAAAAAGGAACTAAGTTTATTTGATAACACATTAAATAAAACATCGATTTTTATCTACTATGTTAAAAATATGTCATTTGAAAAAGTCTGATCGATTAGAATTTCAGATTTATCATACGTATGATTTAATATGTTATTTAATATGTTAATTATTACGCCCACACACGTATATGTAAAATGTATTTGAAGTGTATTAATCGCAAACGCTATTTGACTTGTCGCAAAACTGTAAATAATAGTTCTCATCTTTAGTTAATTGATTGCTAATTATAGTATAAGTTTTTGCAACGCAGTTATTAGCATTTAGGTTTAGATGATTCTTTTATAAATAAATGTATAAACTCTTGCCAATCAAAAAAAGGAACAGTGTTAGACTCGGTAATCTATCATTCGTACGCAAAGGGTTATTTACTGGAATTATGACAATTGATCAAAATTTCCTCAATTATCCTTATTGATATGCCTGCCTATACAAAATGTATCGCATTAAATGTTATAATTTTTCAAAATGCGTTACCGTTTTATAATACTTGATGCCCAATATTATCATGCAAATAAAAAGGAATGTCAAGAACAAAACATACAAATGTATTACTCGCATCATTTAAAAATCTTCTGTACAATAATAATATTGTTAATGCCTATAGTTAATTGTATACTTAACTGCAGGTCAGATTCTCTTCACAAAAGATGCTAAACTCTCCATTTTTAAGGATATAAGATACGTATTTGTAGAATATTTTACATATATGTATGTATAAATAGCAAACTTTATATTTGCAATTCGCCGTAACTTTAAAACAATTAAATGGTGTCTAATAAATTTTGATAAGACTCCCGTCAGACAGCGCGTCGCAGACGATAATTTTGAGATTCGAATTTATCGATCGTCTTTTTACCACTTACCATATGTAGTTATTTCCTCAGTAGACGCGGATATATCTCGATAATCATTATTATTCTATAATGAAAACCTCGTGCTCTCGGAATATGAACAAAGCGCTGGACATTGCAAATCAACCGCAACTGTAAAAAGAAATTTTCAATTTTCTGACATCTATTTTCCATCTTTTCTTATCAAAATATTGATTACATTTTTTCATATTTATTCTACATCTCTATATTTCTCTATATGTCTATATCTCTATATTTCTCTATATGTCTATATCTCTATAATTATTCTATGTACTTGTATATAAAAGGGACGGTCTCTAATGGAGGTCGGAGGATAAGACTGACCGCGTAAAGGTACAATTTCATGGTGTCGCTTGTCGCAGCGATGAGTGGTTACGTGATCGAATTTTATTTGTTTTCTTGTCGCCCGCGACGACGTAAAAAGTTGGATTGAACCCAACTTTTAGCGACGTCGCTCTTACGCACCGAATCTTGTGAGTAATTAAAATTCTGTGCAATAAATAACATAAAGAATATGGAATCGCAAGATGTAAAAAAAATCTCTTTTTTAATATATTTTTTAAAATTTATATTCACTGATGCATACTGTTGCTATTAGTTTACGCCGTCGATCTACTTTATTTTTATTGTGTACAATCGCAGCAACTTGATAAATCCACTCGTGATATTTTTCTTCATAAGACATTTTAGACTTTATTTTACACAATACAATTAATATAATAAAAAATTTATCACTGCTACCCATTTACACAAGCGACGATTGAAATCAGCGCCATGTGATATAGGTACAATTTCACGTGACTTGTTTGTCGCTAAATATGAGCAACAAGCGACACCATGAATACATAGCTTAACTGAGCCCGAGAACACGACGCGGCGCGCGTATCCGTTCCGTTCGAGTACTCCGAGTAGTCCGAGTAAACACGAAGCGGAGGCGCCGCGTTCGCCGCTCGCACACCTCGTGCGTGCTTGCAGGCACTCGCGATCGCCCGTCGTATCGTCGTTAAGAATCCTCCCTCGAGCGACAGGGCAAAGGGTGAAAAGAGTTGCAACGGCCAGACTGTGTCTGTTGGTATCGCGTCGCGTCCGCTCGAAAGGTGGCCGAACGACGGCGAATACGGCGACCGGGACAAAAACGACGACGACGGTAGCGGCTAGCAGCGGCGGCGACGGTGGTGGCATTCGCATTGTTATCGCGGTACGCATACCTCAGAGACGATTAATGTGCATAATAGGGCGAGCGCGTGGCACGCTCGTAACGATTACAAATGTTCGCGGCAGCCGGCGCGGCGTCGGCGCCTCAACTGTGGCGGTCGCGTCAAGAAGATGTCAAACGTCGGTTCGCTGTCCGAGCGACTCGTGAACGGTGAGAGGAGCGACGACGCTGCTGCTGGTGCCGCCACCGGCGCTGTCAGTGCAGGCCGCGGCCGCGGGGGCGGAGGAGGAGAAAGCAGCTGCGTGGGCGGCTGTGGTGGTGGAAGTGTCTTTGCTTCTCGTAGTGGTGCCGCCGGTTCTTGCATCAGTGGTGGTAGTGTTGGTAAGAAGAATAATAATAACAATAATAATACTGATACCGTTGGTAACAGCGGCATACTCGCCGTCGCGGCCGTTGTTACCGGCGGCGTCATCAGTGGCGCCGCGAACGGTCCCCGCGACGTGACGTTGTCCGACGCCCGCGACACGACGCCAGTGAATTTCTGCCGCGAGACTACCACGGTACCGCGCATCCGCGGCGGCGGTTGTCGTTGTCGCATCTTTGCTGTTGTCGACGCGTTATCATCCTCGGTGACAGGCGCGACGACGTGCGCGTCCAATGGTGGCGACGACGCCGCCGACGACGTCGCTGCAACGACGACGACGACGACGGACTGCCGCGAGATCACGCTGAGTAGCGCCGGGACGACGCCGCTACTGCTGGACGCCGGTAGCTGCACCGACGTGAGAACGGTCGGTAGGAGCAGAAGCGGCAGGAGCAACAACCGCAACACCACAAACGCCGCTGCCGTCGTCATTGTTGACATCGCGCCGTCGTTTCACGACGACGACGACGACGGCGACGGAGACGACGACGAAGACGAAGACGACAACGACGACGACGACGACGACGACGTCGAGGACGACGAGGAGGACGACGACGAAGACAAGGGTCGTCGTCGTCGCCGCCGCTATCACAATTGCGGCAACATGGTCGCGGCGATGAACGAGCACCTGTCCAACGCAACAACGACAACAACATCATCACCGCCGGCTGTGGCGAACGCCGTCCGTGCCGGCAACAATACCGTCGCGATGTCATCGTCGTCGTCATCGTCATCATCATCATCGTTATCCTCGTCGTCGTCCTCGGTATCGTCGGCTATGATGACAGCAACTACCACGAACGCCGGCGGCAACAATAATCCCTCCGCCACGATGATGACGATGGGCAGTGTCGGGAGCGGTGCCAACGGCAACAATAACAGTGGCAGCGGCGGCTGCACCAGCGCGCGCAATCAGGAGTTCCAAGAGGTGGACGGCGACAGCAAGAGCACCGCTGCCGCCGGTATCCACAGTTTTCCATGTGACTTCGATCATATGTACGCCAGCATGACCGACGGTGCTGCGCCGGCCGCCGCCGCGGCCACCGCTCTTGGCGTTAGTCCGCTCCGCGGTAATGAGCCCCGTCACAATGACTTCACCGAGGTCAAACACCTGAAGGAGCTGCTGTTGCTCCACCTCGATCTCATCCAGCAGCAGTCCGAGCAGATCGTCACCAAGGACAAGCTTCTCGCTGCGCTGCGTCAGGAAAACGAAACGGTACGCGCTCTGGGTGACGCGCTTGTTTCCTCTTTTCTGCCGCGAAAGGCTCTCTCCTTGCAACAGATTATTAAATAAAAAAAAAAGGGATTCTGCGAAATTCAGATCGATCTCAAGAAATCGGAAATTGGCCGGTAGAGATTTATCTCGATAGTAATTTTAAATAGGAGCGTATTGTGTGCGATTTTTTTTTATTTTTTTTCTTACATAAACACGTGGTTTTTTTCAGTGATTTTATTTCATGTGACAATGTTAATGTTAGATAAACGAATAAAGTGTTTAACTCTATCTCTAATTTCCAGAGGAGAGTATTAAAAAAAGTTTCGATTTTGACACTCAACTTACACCTGAATAAACCTTGAAAAATCATTGTTTGGATCCTGAAAAGACAAGAATTAAATAAGGATTTTTTATTTCCTGTCTTTTGAGGATCCAAATAATGATTTTTTTTTTTTCAAGGTCTATTCAGGTGTAACCTGAGGGCCAAAATCGACACTTTTTTAACACTCTCCCTTTTACATTCGCAGAATCGAACCGACTGCTGAATATACATACCTAATATAATATCATTCAATTCTTTGATTATCGTAAATCGCGAATTCGACGGAGATGCGTATGCATGGGCATTTATCTCTTAATGCAAGGCACCTTCCGAAAATGCAATTATTGCTTTAACATTAAAGTCGAGAAATGCGGAATGAGGTAAAGTGAGTAGCGAGGTGAGTCATCGATCGAGTTTTCAATTCAAAACCCCGATTCGTCCTCCAATCCCGTTCACCTGCGGCCGTCCCAATTTTTGCGTAAGCGCCCGTGACAATTGCGTCATGTGTACTTGAAGGAGGAGAGCCTAAACGCCGAGACAGCGAGATTCCGAAGTGGAGCCAAGTGGCCGAGAGATTTTCATTAAAACTCGAGTCGCGTTTTCGACAGGTTTTTTTCATCTTCAAACGCAAGTTACGCGGCGCGCGATGCAAAGAGCGAGAATCGCGTGAAATTTGTAGCAAAATGAAACCGCGACTCCGAGAGCTCCGATTCGCGAAATAACTCCTTTCCGCCGTCTCACGCTTCCCTTCGAGATAAAAATATCGTGATTCGTCGATAGGCTCGAAATTTTTCGCGTTTATGCTCATTCACAATTTTGCACGAGAATCGAGGGAAAATCGTGGTCGTGGGATGTCAACGCAGTTTCGAGCGACAGCCCACTCGTCGCGCAGTTCACGGTCGTCATCGACGATGAGTAAAAAGGCTTCGCGAGAGCGCCGCCCTAACCTGAGCATCGTGCGTATTCCTGTATCCGCCCGCCAAGCCGCCAATCCCGCTCTTTTTCTGGCCACGGAACGCGCCTCGGTCCGCGCCGGCAACGACGACGACGACGACTTTGGCACCATTTTGTAAAAAAAACGCGCTGCGCGCACATGCCCGCGAGTGTCAATTCCGCCCGATCCCGCGCCTCTCCCCTCCAACGCGATTCTGCCTAACCTAAATGTACCACGCGGGGAACAGGTTGACCGTGAAGGTCAACTTGCGCGGTGTCAACACGTGGTGGCGCTACTTCCGCATTGAGACCGCGCGCACGAGAAAGAGAGAGAGAGAGAGAGGGAGAGTCTGTGTGTGTGTGAGGATGCGTGAGAATGTAGGAGGTTGGAGTACCGAGAGTGTGAGAGATGGTGTGTGAGAGACGTGCGAGTTTTCTCTCCGCGGGAGTGACGACGTTCTGCGGTGTTTTCGCGATTTGAAAATGACAGTTGGATCGAAGGGGGGACCGCGATCGCGCGACCGTGCGACCAAGTAGGCGGCATCGGCGGCCGGGAAACCGGGTGCGAATCGGTCCCGTTTCTTTTCAAGTGGGTCCCCAGTGGACGCTAGTACGCGGTCCGCCGTTCGTCGACGGTGCGAATGACAGACAGGAGCGCGGGTCTATCGGATTAACCTCCCTTGTCGCGAGAGCGCGCGAGGATAAACGAGACGTCCGCGACAGACTCACCGAGTGATTCCACGATGATTTGCGAGGAGAGAAAGATCGTGTACAGACGGTACACGAGAAGTGTAAATAAATTTAAATATTTATTATAGAGGATCGATAGATGTTAGATATATCGTGTCAATCATGTGGAAGGGTGTTGTTTGGATCTGTTTTTTTTTTATTTGTTGCAGCTGAAACTGCGTTTGGAGCGTATGGAAAGGCGGGTGAGTCTTCAGAAGCTGAGGTCCGAGTGTAGCGAGAATTCCACCGGTTCGGAGCATTTGGGTAGCGCCTGCTCGCCCACCAGTGTCAATTCGGTGAATGTACCCTCGACTAGCGAACTGCACAGAAATGCTCAGTGCGAGGGCAGCAACATCCTGCACGAGAGCTTCAAGATACGTCTGAACACCAGCGGCGGTATCACTACTGTCAAACAAGAACCACTCGATAATCAAATTAAATTGGAGGTGAAACAAGAGACTAATAACGAGACCAGGTTCGAATGGGAAGAGAAAAAGAAGAGACGATCGGATCCGACTCCCTTGTCTACAGGTAGTAAAAAGAAAAGAGTGCTCTCCTGTTCGTCCACTATCAGTAACGACGGAGTGCAAGAAAAGATATTGGGTCAGGCTTTGCACGAAGCCAGTAGAAAGAGCGACAAGAAGGCGAAATCTCTTGTGAAGAGGGAATCCTTTCTCACAACAGAGGAACACTATTACACAGCTGTAGGAGATCCGACTTATACGTTAAATTTAAAACAGTCTAACCCAGTAGAGGCGAGTAATTCATTAGAAGTCCCAAGCTGGAGAGTAAAGGTATATACGAGTTGTTACACGATGGAGGGAACTGAGAATTTGGACGATGAGATTTTTAATAAGAGACATTTGAAATTGGAGAATGACGAAAGGAGGAGAAAGCGATGGGATGTACAAAGGATAAGGTTCGTAAAGTATACTCGCGGTCATCTCTTTAGGGGACATAATATAATTTGACATATTTTTTATTATATTTTACTATATCATTAGGGAACAAAGGCATATAGAGAAGTTAAAACAACGGCAAGAACGTCAAAATCATCAAGCTACGTGCTACAATACAAATCATACTGGTCCTTGTCCATCGTCCATGGAAGAGGAAACCATAACGTCCTTGTGGCCTGATATAGAACAAATTCAAAGTCTTCAAGTAGATCTTCATTTGCCAGTGACTGCATTTGGCGCTCTTATTCCTAGTTTTACTCCAAGGTAAGAAAGGTTTACTTTTTACGCGTACAACACGAACTTTACGTATTTATTATGTTAAGCATTCATAATTAACATAATCTTTATTTTTTTCAGTGAATTCTCTTTACCCTGGTCGAATATAACGCGAATAAAGTGTCGACGTCCCAAACGTTCAACAGGTAGAAGAAAATCTACAGGTAGAAGAAAAGTTTAGGTGATATGTACATTTTTATAAAAGTGGACAGAACTGATTTTTTTTTATCGGTACCGTCGGTTTTAAATTCTTGAAAATACTACTGCTCTCTCTCTCGCGCCATAATTGAAAGAGCGGGTTTTTTTTGTTGCAAAATAGGGGCACCAAAGATATTTTTATTGACTTTTTAAACATATGCAATATATATAGTATAGTTTACCTATTTTTTCTACATTTTTATTTAAGTAAAATTTACCGTCAACGCTTGTTTGATACATCTATTCTACATCTTGTACATACTCGGTGTTGGTCATTTTATTTATATAACTGAATACGTATCACACAACACATAACAAAGTATCAATCTGGCATATTGAGTATTTTTCAACTCTAGACCAGATTTCTGTTCCACTTTCAGTGAGTTGACAATATGGATATTGCAAAACTTTTTTACTACTCCAATTATATAGACTATATTATTTTTATAATTAAATACATTCTTTGCTATTAATTATAGAAGAATCATTAACGGACATATACATTGATAATATACACTTGGCAAAAATATATTATAAAACAATATACATAAAACAATATTACATAACGAAAGAATATAATAAATTTTTAAATTTTGTGTAGCTCTTTTTGATTAGACTTTATAAATTCCGCATTTCTTAATAATTTAACATTGGATGATAAATATTCTTGAAAAAATTAAACATTGTCGCAAAATGATCGCAAATTGACTAATTCCAAGATTTACAGTACAAATGTATTGTATAGAGTGTGCAAAAAAAATGTGCGCCTTCTTATTAACAGATTCTTTGACGAAATTAACATTTCCTTCACGAAAATTTGATGGCCTAATGAAATAATTTTCATGCACTTTTTCGTTAAGGAAACATTCACGCCAAAAAAATTTGTAACTAAAAGAAACTGAATCGCCTTTTGATACTGATCTGTATGTTGTACAATCTGTCAACGTTGTCCTATTGGATTACAAGTAAGATATCGCAAGATCTACTATTCTTGCTCTCATGTATGTTGAACGCTGAATGTCAAAATCCGAGAAATAGGCAGAGAAGAAACTTCGGACGTCGTAAACGATTGTAAAGTTATTAGTATCGCGACTAATAGTCCAATTTTATCGATCCGAGGTACAAGGCTCTTTGAGAAATATATATATATATTTTCACAATCAATTTCATTTTTAAATTTAAGTTAAATTTCAAGTTAACTATACTGACTTGGTGCATATTGTATATTTAAGAAACAAAATTATGTAAATTTTTCATTTGTGTTACCTTCAAATATTGGTACAGTTATTGATAATATTGTTTCACGGTTCTGTCGTACTGTAAAGATATACATATGTAGAATTCTCATACATTTTATCCGAGATGATTTGTGATAATTCCGATTTTACTTGCGTTATAAAAAACTGTAGTCTTACGAATATAACGGATCGACGCAAATAATAATTCAAGCAGATGACAACTTGATGACATTATTTTCGCATATCTGCTGGATATCAGATTATTATTTAAGACGTTCCACAATAACTTATCTTGGATGAATGAAAATAAAAATTGTATATACTTTTCTTTAGAAATATAGATTTTTTTTACGTTCTAATTTTTTATGATGCGTGTGTATATGTGTATATACATATATATATATACACATATATATGCTGTAAAATAATATATTAACCGTCCATGAAAGCTAATAGAATTTCATGAACAAAACAGCATTTGATGCTACGATACTACGAATGTAATTATCAATATCCTGTAAATGTAAATGACAACTTTTCTAGCTGTGAACTTACTGATTGAGTTCTTAGTACATCTACAAATATATACGACATATAACGCTCTGTGAAAAAGAATATAAATTATTATTTTCTAATGTATATGCGTCAACAGAGAGAATTTTGTTACGTCGGCAGATGTACTGTGTGTCAAAAAGTTGTACGAAAGTTTCAAAGAGGAAACGTAGGAAGAAATAGGCTCTTCACTGATGTCACATCCGCCTTAAACGTCCTACTGTGTAATATAACATCGAGTACATTTTAGAAATAAAAAAAAAAGACATTGATTCAGTGGCTCTGTTCGATGTGTACAAACTTCCTAATTCAAGCGTTTGAAGGAGTAAAAGTATTCATCTTTAAAGCTTGCAAGTGCGGATGCAATAAAATTGGGAATCGCCGATGATCGGATGTAGAATTCACTCGTTGTGAGTTAATGCTCTATAAGTATATTTATCAAAAGATAAGAAAACTATTGGCGAGTAAACAATTATTTTTTACAAGAAGTCCGAAGGGGATGAGAAACCATGTAAGAAGAAAATTATTATATTCAGGAAATAATAAATTATTACTCGGAAGAAATAAATATCGTTTCAGTTATCCTGCGTACGGTCCACCAAGGATTATTATCGGCCGAGAAGCATTCTGGATGATCATGGCATCTCAAAAGCACTTTCTATGCACGATAAACGGCCCTAACTCGTCGTACTCCTGCCTCGAAATCCACATCTGCTGGAACGTGCTCAGACTGGCGAGGATCGAGCCGCCGATCCACACCGAGTATTTCCTCTCGGGTGGCGCGATTACTTTGATCTTCATGGTGGGCGGTGCGAGCGCCGTTATCTCCTTCTGCATCCGATCAGCGATGCCCGGATACATGGTAGTGCCGCCCGAGAGCACCGAATTGGCATACAAATCCTTACGGATGTCGACGTCGCACTTCATAATCGAATTATACGTCGTCTCGTGTATACCGCAGGATTCCATGCCCAGGAAGCTCGGCTGGAACATCGCTTCCGGGCAACGGAAGCGCTCGTTGCCGATTGTGATGACCTGGAATCAAACCGTTACCCGTTACGTCTTCGTCCACTGACCGCGCGGCTAGCCAACCCATGACGAGTTAACACTCGCTCGACGCAAAATACGCGCGATTAATGTTAATGAGCGTACACTCCCTGCATTATCGTCGTTCATTACATTCAGACTACTACTTTCTGTATTTCTTTGTATCTTGTAATTCAGACGTCATTTTTTAAGTTTTCTTAAACTTAACTTTATAAAGAATTAGCAGCTGAGTTTTAAAATTTCGATAAAATTGTAGCTCTTTCTAAAAAAAATGTTACATTTTTTTTCTAAGCGTAACTCTTTTCTTAATAGAAGATTTAGTTACTATCAAGAAGTCTTTGATTGCTTTGAATACATAAGAATGTCGCATTCGTAAAATGATAATAAATCAAGTATCGCGTTACCTGGCCATCCGGTAACTCATAGCTCTTTTCTAACGCAGTCGATGCGGCGGCTGTCGCCATTTCATGCTGAAAGTCTAGTGCCACATAACACAGCTTCTCCTTGATGTCACGCACGATTTCGCGCTCGGCAGTAGTTGTAAAGGTGTAGCCCCTCTCGGTCAGAATCTTCATCAGGTAATCTGTCAAGTCGCGACCGGCCAGATCTAAGCGCAAAATTGCATGAGGTAGGGCATATCCTGGAAAAAGAGAAAAAACATTATTACGACATTAAGTGTCACGCAGTTGATTCTTTTTAGATCGCATGGCACTATTGCGTATACCACGAGAAATCGAATCGAAGCGAGCCGAGAGAGGTATTACCTTCATAAATCGGTACCGTATGAGATACCCCATCGCCGCTATCCAGCACTATGCCAGTCGTACGTCCGGACGCGTACAAGGACAGGACAGCCTGAATGGCAACGTACATAGCTGGAGTGTTGAAGGTCTCAAACATAATCTGCGTCATTTTTTCGCGGTTGGCCTTAGGATTCAGGGGAGCCTCCGTCAACAAGACGGGATGCTCCTCCGGCGCGACTCTCAACTCGTTGTAGAACGTATGGTGCCAGATCTTCTCCATGTCGTCCCAATTGGTCACGATACCATGCTCTATAGGATATTTAACAGTGAGAACTCCCCGTTTACTCTGCGCCTCGTCGCCCACGTAACTGTCCTTTTGTCCCATGCCGACCATAATTCCCTGAAAATATTCTTGATTAAAATTTATGTTTATAATTTATGATGACTCACCTAGCAAATATTTATATTCTCATTACCTGATATCGCGGTCTTCCAACAATGGAGGGAAACACAGCTCGAGGAGCATCATCCCCAGCAAATCCGGCTTTGCACATTCCGGATCCATTGTCGATCACCAACGCGGCCACGTCGTCGTCACACATTTTAGAATATTAAGCAAAGTGACTTTACAGTAATGTCAAAGAAACGCGTGTGTTTTTACAGCAGATAAATAAATAGGACAACTGAGAGACTAGATGGTACAACGTCCTCACGTGACGTTAGCTTCTGAAGCATTGCGTTTCTTCCTAGAAGAGTTGCTTTATATGAGCGCCCCTCCTTCCGCCCACAGATCCGCACACACAGCTATCTCTCCTTTTATACGACGGCTTCAGAAACGAACAACAATTTTAAATTGTGGCTTAACAATAATAGATCTCTTTCACATCGATAGATTTAAGAATACTTTCGCTTATTGTTGAAGAAGAAGATTTACAAGTTGACTGGTTTTAGTAAAACCTGTTTATAAATTCGTAAATTACATAGTGAATGTAATAATAACGAGAATATAATTTATAAATATGATACACAGCTTTTCAACATAGTTTTCACGTAGCAGTAGTTTTTGACATAAAAAACAACGTCCGCACAAATGATACGAATAAAAATATGTTTTTAAAGATATGTTTCACTCTTAGAAGTATAATATACAATAGAATATAATACGGTGTATTACAATTGTGGTTGTCAACGCTACGTATTGTGAAAGGAAGTAGAATATTCAATAGATAGCATCCTCTCGTGCATTTCTTACTCTTTAGAGAAATATGTATATACCTTTTTAAATAAAAGACTTAATTGCTCTTTAATGTATGCCAATTATAACTGGCAGCTACTGCTTATAGTGTTATTCTCAATAAACGCACGAAGTTCTTGCGATAATTAGAGCATACATTTTTCTGCGTTCCTGCAGTCGCATTGATCTCTCTGCAAATCTGCACTACTACAACGGCAATTCCTTTTAGACGTAACGCGCGAGGAATGTAATTTCGTTTGCAAACATTTTTCAAGCGAACATTTTGTTCCATGATGATACCTTCAATCATCTGAAATCTATTTAAAAACAGATTTCTAAATAGCAAGATAAAATGAATCGAGCTAATAAGATCCAATCGTAGAACGTAACTATTATTCGTTCAACAAGTTCTCTCCATATATGTCACAGAATTACAGATTGACAAAATTAAACAAAAAACGAAGGAGATAACGGAAGCTCATAAGGTTAAAAAAGTCTTAATTGTTCTAAATTGTCTCCTATAAATGTGTGCACTTTTTCTAAAAATAGAATGTGTATATAATCGAAGTGCCCGCGGTTTCGTGAAATATATTTAAGAAACGATGTTACGTATTTTTAGAAGAATATAATGCAACATTATGTTGGCCCTTCAATAGTTTTGTTATAAATTTTTACTACGTATTATAGAATTATCCAGTCAATCAATTTAATAACGTTGGATCAATATATTAATTTCGATACGAAATACGAACATGTAACGCAAATTTGACTGCTGTTATTCTCATTCGTATCATTTCTAGACAACAAGCTTTATTCCTTTAAGAATACTTTACAAACCAATGCGCATTACAGAGAATCACTGTTCCATAGACTGGTCGCCCACTAGAGCGATCTTTATAATTGCTGTATTACGCTCCTTAATTAACTGCTCGACTAATGATATTAATTAGGCTGTGAAATTAAGTACTCACTTCAGTCTAAAGTTTTTGCATAAACCACTCTTGATATTTTTAACATCATAATGTTACATAGTATAACATAGTTAAAAGGTCACATATAAACAATTCGCGCAATCAATATGTGAAATATACTATTAATTATGATTAGATAAGCGATAGCTAGCTGCATTTTATGTACACACATACACACACACACGCGCGCGCGTACATATACACATTCATTTAACGTGAATTGCATGTCAGAATATATATATATACATACACACATACACATATACATTTGAAGAAAAACCAATTGAAACAAATGTAATAAACATGATATAAACACATTTTAAAAAATACAAAGAATGAAAGCCCGATGATCGAAGAAAATACAGTATCACGGAAATAAAAATTTCTTTCATCTTTTTTATTCCGACATACATTTCCGCACATGTAGATCTATTTAATTTCGACAAATATTGCACGAAAAGCATTACAATACCAAGATATGGATTTTCTTCATAAAGCAATAATACTTTGTAATAAGTATAAATTAGGAAATATCAATTGCCAACGTTATCATTATAATGCAACAGTCTTAATAATTTCTACTTATCCCAGAGTCCAACTTCTTTCATACGTGTTTGAAAGTATTTTTCTAAGGCATTGGCACAACGGTAATATTCAGTTTCAGGACTATTATACAATCTACAATTGGTGAAAATCCGTAACATGTCGGCTATAAATAATCTCTTTATTACATAGTATCCCGAATTCAAGCGATCATGCATCGTCTTGAGATCTATAACATACGAATAAATATATCATTACATTTCGGTTTCTTGTAATCCGTTAGTTTCTTTTATGTAATAATCAAGTATATTATATTCGGAATATGTAAGATTTTAATTAAGCTAAATGTATGGACATTTCTTAAACTCACCCATAGGATATTTTATATGATCGTAGTAATCTGGAACATCATTCTTATCTACAGGTTTCAAAAAAGGCCACGCTGTGCTGTGTTTTTTCACACTGTTCAGAACACCATTTAATATATTACATAGAGAATCCGGCACGTCTAAACTTGTGTCCATCGGTTCTGGACCCTGCATTCCTTTCGTCACACCTCTCGTTCTAGTTTGTGCACAACTTTTCCATCCGGTCTCGTGAATTCCCGGGATACACTCGATCGGAATTCCCCTTAAACCTTCCTTAAAACACGTCAAGCCGGGATGCACTTTTTGTATTTCTTGCTGCCTCTGGTGAATCAGCTTTTTCACAATTTCTTTCTGCTTCCGGATAACTGCCGTAAATTCGGTATACACAATTTTCGGATTTAGCTCGCAATGCATCAACGTCGCTCCCACGTAATATTTTATGTACCCTTGGTGCACCGACTTGGGCAGTTTTATATCTTTGCTAAATCCCTGTTTCTTAAAGTATCCAATAGCGAAATCATCCGCGAATGTAAGAAAATGCAGTATATTGTTTTTAATATGATAATCCTTCAACATGTTCATCAAATGCGTTCCATAGCCCTTTACTTGCTCGTGACTCGTAACAGCGCAAAACACTATCTCTGTAAACCCTTGACTTGGAAACATACAAAAACAAATCCCACCAATTGGACGACCGTCCTTTATTAAGGCTAGTGTTTTATGCTTTCTGTAAAAACAAAGAACACTAATTTAATTATTGAATGCATTCGTACGTAAAATTATCTACATTGACACTAGATGTCTGTTACTCACGGATCAAAAACAAGCTGAGTAATGTATTCTTTGGGCGTTCTTGGTAACTGATGGCTGAATATATCCTGCAGTCCTATCAGCCAGAGCATAGTTTGCTTAGACACTGGCCGTGTCAGGCTATTTCCCACTACGTGAAATTCTATTATCTTTCTACTTTCTTCCATCTTGGCGGTCTCGTCCCGTGGCACATTTGGTGGAAACACCGCATCAGAACCTGACATATAATTAGTGTCATTGATAGATGCAACAATTTCAGCAATGGTCTCATTTGGCAGATCCTCGAAAGTTTCTTCATTCTTTCGTCTCTTTGCGTCAAGGCGCCCTTCGGCATTAGGACGTTTCTCCTGGATCTTCTTAATTCCAGGACTAATATTTATTGTTGTAAAATTGTCTTTCTCATTCGGAGGAACGGTAACCTTTTCAAATTCTCCCGTTTTTCTTGCTTGAGCCTTTGATTCCAAGGCAGTTTGAATGTGAGAAGGCGGAAGTTGTTTAAATTCAGGATCCCAAATGGGGGAATTATCAGAATAAATCTCTCCTTCCAACAGTGACAAAAACCTTGAACATAAAAGATTACAATTCAGCTTGATACCAATAAGTTATATATATACAAGAAATGGAAGAGAAATTCAGAACATACTTGGGAAAATGCGTTAAAACCAAGACCTTTTTTTCCGGCGCAATTCTGTCTCTTTCATTGTTACACTTGTCCATTAATTGTCTGCAAACTGATCTAAATACAGCTTGTAACAGACTTTTCCCAAAAACTAAAGCAGTGTCGTAATGCGGCAAGGAGTCACAAAATGCAGGCACATGGCAAAAGACGAGCCAGCGAGTATAATTGATTTTATAAACAGGAGCTTCGTCCGCGTTAAGTATCGGCCGTTTGGTAGCGGGCGGTTCAAAATTCCAATAATTCAGGCAGTGTAAAAGCATCTTTGCCAGATCGTACATACCCTGCCACTCTCTCGCCGGCAAATGACTAAATTTATACAAAACAAAGTTCATCACCGCTTTCGCTATGTTGGGTCTTTCAAACGGCGGCTGCCCTAACGGCCCTTCTATGGTCGGCTTCGTCATAGACCAGATGCAATTCCTCAACAATTTGTACAAATAAATATATACTTTCTTAGTGTCGGAATCCGTTTCCTTGTGTGTACTTGCAAAAATATTGTCAGCATCAACAGCCATTCCCAACAATCTGGTGATCTCCTCATCAGATTGAATCGATATATGTTTGATATGATTTTCTAAAGGATGTTTACACGTCTTGCAGGGATCGGAAAAGTTTATAATAGGCTGCTGTATCTCGCCCTTTGGAGATTTTATAATCGGCTGCGCGTTCTTCCAGCCTGTACATGTACACGCCTCCGTTTGGCAAGTGCTGTAATTCGAAAGTTTTAACAGTTTCTTCTCTCGCGGCCAGCTGAGCGCCTGATGCTTGCGTTGAAGTATCCTCTGGAGATTAGTCGTTCGGTTTACTTGAGGCTGCGGCTTAGCTGAATTTGCGTCCTTGTTATTACTTTCTTGTTGCAAAGTACTGGTGACAGGTTGTCTAGTTTCTTCCGAAGAAACGGTTGCATAAGAATTGCCGTCCTCAGATGCCATTCTGCTAAAAAAAAAAAAAAAAAAATTATTGTAATATCCATATTATTGGATGGAACAAGTTGTATGTGGCTCAATCGTGTCATAATTGTAATTATTTTTCAAGCAACTTACATGAATTTACACGTACATTAGAAGTTCTTGCTCGAATACAAGTAAATTAAATCACAATTTTACATAAATTGAGTTAATTATATTCTACCACCTCAATGGTTGCGAATTTACTCAACGGTTCGATAATAATATTCTGATTTGAATAAAGAATGACGATATCTACAGAATTCTCATGCCGTTAAAAACCCAGCATTCTCTACGATTCTCTACAATTTGTTGTATTATTATTAATATTATGTCGATATATGGGACAGTTCTTGGCAGATCAGGTTATATGAACTGTTCGCTAATGCTCCCTACACACTAAACTCTACTACACACCGTTGCGTGCTGCTGCATCAGGAAATGCGGCAATGCTATGAGATAACACATGTCCACACGCAACGGCCAATCGTTTCCAGTTTTTCTGGAAATGATAGCATGCAGCGGGAAATGATTGGTTGTCGAGTGAATTTCAAAGTGCTTTTTAAATTTCTGCTACGTGGATTTAAAAATTTTAATTAGCTAATTAAATTCTCCGCTAAGTGAATTTCTATTAAATGCAAATTTTTATTAGATTTACATACGTCATAGAGTTCTAGATTCAAAAATTTCGTAAAAAGTTTCGTGAGAAAAAAATTTTGACTTAACTTTTTAGGAATTATAATTGTCCTAAACATGAGCTATAATAAATAAGGAACAAATAATGAACAAAAATTGTTTTTATATTTTTTATATTATATATATCGTAAGCATTTAAAAAAATTCTACTTGTCCCATAGACCAATCTCTTTCATACGCGTCTGGAAATATTTTTCCAGAGCATTGGCGCAACGATAATAATCGGTCTCGAGACTGTTATACAATCTACAATTCGTGAAAATTCGTGTCATGTCTGCAATAAATAATCTTCTAGTTACATAATATTTAGACTTCAAACGCTCTTCCATAGTCTTGAGATCTGTAACAAAAATTCATCTATTGTTAGTTCTTGATTTATCATTGAGGTCTCTCATTTTAACATTACTTTTTCATTTATATTAGTAATATTGATTACTAATAATATCTGTAACAAAAATTCATCTATTGTTAGTGCTTGATTTATTATTATAAGCTCTGTCATTTCAACATTTTTCATTGATATTTAATATTTTATTATTCAAATAGTATTTTAATCGTTTTAAAAATGTATATTTTCTCTGCTCACCCATTGGATATTTTATATGATCATAGTAATCTGGAACGTCGTCTTTGTCCACAGGCTCCAAGAACGGCCAAGCTGCGCTATGACTCTTCATGCTATTCAAAACGCTGTTCAAAGCGTTATAAAGAGAATCCGACATATCTATGCAATCTACAGATTCCGGACCTTGCGTTCCTTTGGCCACGCCTCTTGTTCTTGCTTGAGCATAATTCTTCCATCCGGTCTCGCGAATTCCCGGAATAGATTCGACGGGAATACTTTTCACACCGTCTTTAAAGCACGTTAAGCCCGGATGAACTTTTTGTATTTCCTGCTGCCTTTGATAAATTAATTTTTTAACAATTTCTTTCTGCTTCCTCAATACCGCTGTAAATTCGGTGTATACTATTTTAGCATTCAATTCACAGTGCATCAGCGTCGCTCCTTCATAATCTTTAATATATCCTTGATACATCTGCTTCGGCAATTTTATATCTTTGCTAAATCCCTGTTTTTTAAAATATCCAATGGCAAACTCATCTGCGAACGTGAGAAAGTGCAGTATGTTGTTCTTGATGTGATAATCTTTCAGCATGTTCATCAAGTGCGTTCCATAGCCTTTCACTTGCTCTTGACTCGTGACAGCGCAAAATACTATCTCGGTAAAACCCTGAGTAGGAAACGTGCGAAAACAAATACCGCCTATTGGACGACCGCTTTTTACCAGAGCCAATGTTTTATGCTTCCTGGGTGTGATAAACAACGGATTATTATATTAAATAAATTCTTCCAATAAATTAAGATATTATTTTTTAGTAATACTCACGGATCAAAAACAAATTGAGATATATATTCTTTTGGCATTCTGACCAATTGATGACTGAATACGTTATGCAATCCTATCAGCCAGAGCATAGTTTGTTTTGACACAGGCTGCGTCAGACTGTTTCCGACAACATGAAACTCTATGATCTTCCTGCTTTCCTCAACTTTCGCGGTTTCGTCTCGCGGAACATCCGGAGGAAATACCGCATCAGGCCCGTACATGTAGTTGGGATCATTAATAGTCGCAACAATCTCAGAAACAGTTTCGTCTGGCAAATCTTCAAAAACTTCCTCACATTTTCGTCTCTTTATGTCAAGTCGTCCATCGGGACGTTTTTCAGCAAGTCTTCTTATTCCGGGACTAATATTTATCGTTGTATAATTGTCTTTCTCGTTTGGTGTAATAGTGACCTTCTCAAATTCCCCAGTCTTTCTCACTTGCTGTGCCTTCGACTCCAAGGCAGTTTGCAGATGAGACGGTGGTGTTTGTTTGAATTCGGGATCCCACATGGGCGAACTGTCGGAATAAATCTCAGCTTCTAGCATGGAAAGAAACCTTTAATACAAAGAATTATATGGTTAACTGTTATAATTATACGAAAAACATAAGAAGAGAAAATGGAATTTAATATACATACTTAGGAAAATGTGTTAAAAGTATAACTTTCTTCTCCGGCACTATTTTGTCTCTTTCATTGTGACATTTGTTCAATAATTCTCTACAAAGTGGTTTGAATACGGCTTGCAGTAGAGTCTTCCCGAAAACCAAAGGAGTATCGTGGTTCGGCAAAGAGTCGCAGAATGCAGGAACATGGCAGAAGACCAGCCAGCGGGTGTAATTAATTTTGTAAGTGGGAGCCTCGTCCGTTTTAAATGTCGCTTGTCTGCTACCGGGGGCTTCGAAATTCCAAAAGTTCAGACAGTGTAAAAACATCCTTGCCATCTCGCACATAAGTTGCCACTCCTTCGGCGGCAAATGACTAAATTTATACAAAACAAAATTCATCACCGCTTTCGCTATGTTGGGTCTTTCAAACGGCGGCTGCCCTAACGGGCCTTCCACGACCGGCTTTGTCATAGACAAGATACAATTCCTCAATAATTTGTAAAGGTAAAAATAGACTTTTTTAGTGTCGAGATCTCCCTCCCTGTGTGTACACGCCACGATATTGTCCGTGTCGACAGCCATTCCCAATAGTCTGTTGATCTCCTCGTCGGATTGTACTAACAGATGTTTGATGTGACTCTCCAGAGGATGCGTACACGTCTTGCACGGATCGGAAAAGTTTATAACGGGCTGCTGTATCTCGCCCTTCGGCGACTTTACAATCGGCTGCGCGTTCTTCCAGCCTGTACATTTACACTCCTCCGTTTGACACGCACTGTAATTCGCAAGTTTCAACAATTTCTTTTCTCGCGGCCAGTTGAGCGCCTGCTGCTTGCGCTGATGTATCCTTTGGAGATTACTCGTTGGATTCACCTGAATCTGCGGCTTATTTGGGCTTGCAGCATCCTTATTATTACTTTCCTGCGATGTACTGGTAACAGAATGCCCAGTCTCCTCCGAAGAAGCTAATATTGTAGTATGAGAATTGATGTCCTCGGATGCCATTCTGCTCAAAATCATTATTTTGTTATATTAAGAATTATAGTCAGTCAATAGTCACATAATACATGTACACACTTATTAAACTTACATGAAAATTTTTGTCAATATAAATTGTATGTGAAGAAAATAAGTTGCAATTTGGCGCGAATCAAATTAATTATGCTTTTATTCCTAACCCTATCGTTGGCTTATGTATTGAACAACAGAAATCCAATAATATTTCGGGTCGTATAATCGATCACAATGTTTATAAGTTATTTTTTTTATTATTATAGACACATTTTTCACAATTTGTTGGTGTCGCTGATTTAAAAGACAATGCTCCGACTAGGGTTAGGTTGGATTATGTATGTATGCGATATGCATGCGTGATGTATGTATCAGAGCGAAGCCTCTGTATGTATATACGTACACATATCCGGATATGTATATGCGATATAATCTTCACGCCGCGTCAAAACTCCGATGCTCCGAACTACGTGTGAGTCGAGCATAAAAAAATTCGCGTGTTACCACCGTGAAAAAGTGCTACAGTGCTCTCGAAAGGATAAACATTTTATAAAAGGAGAGACAGGAATCGAAGTTCAAGAGAGACAAATTACGGAACACAGTTTGTCTTCGCGTCTAGTGTTTTAGGTTAGGGGTCCATAACACTGACAGCTTTACTCCGCGTTACACGAAATGGCAGAGAATTTCGAAAGAGAAACAACACCGATTTACAATGAGGAATGCAAGACTGCGGGACAACCGTTGTCAGATTTTCTGTTGCAGTTAGAGGACTATACACCCACGGTATATCAATCTACCACTTTGTTGATTAAGTTTCCCCTCTCTAAAAAATAACCTTGTATTTTGGGCGAGTTATGTGTTTTCGTGTTTATATCAAATACTGTAGAACTATATATAATACTATAATTTGGACTATAAAACTATAATACTAGTACATATAAAACAATATATTCTATATTGTTATTAGGTACCTGATGCTATCACCGAACATTACTTGCACACAGCCGGTTTCAACGCTACGGACTCTAGAATGTAAATATGAGCGCAATATATTTAAATCATTCTATAATTAGGAGTTTTGTTAAACATTTAATATCTATTCAGTAAATCTATTGAATAATGTTATTTATGTGTTGACTCCTTGTTACGTATGTCATGCATATGTTGAGTAGACAATAAACTTTATACATATATATATTATTTTAGAGTGCGTCTGGTGTCCTTGGCGGCACAAAAGTTTATCTCAGAAATTGCCAACGATGCACTGCAACATTGTAAGACGCGTGGCGCCAATCAGAATACAAAAACAAAGGGAAAGGATCGACGTTACACTCTAACCATGGAAGATCTGACACCGGCAGTCGCTGAATATGGCATAATAGTGAAGAAACCACATTATTTCGTTTGATTAGAAAAGCTATACAGTTTAATTGATGTGTTCATTTCGTTAAATCGCATCACTGTAATTAATAATATATGATTGCATTTTTGGGCGAAAGTGTCAGCAGGAATCATGTCGTATGTATAAAAAAAGATCCACTGTTATATATAAAAAGGAAAAAGTTTCATGCCTATATGTGTATCAATTTGAATATACATGTTTAAAAGGTTCTTTTTTTTTATTAAGAACGAGACTAGGTCTAAATAAGTTTCCTAAAATTATAGTTATAGTTTCGTAATTACAATACTTGACACGTACATCTTACATCATTGTATCATTAGTGTTTTTGTAATAAAAATTTATGTTATCAAATTATGTTTTAATGTTTAGATAAATATATATAAAATATTTATTTTTCTGACTTGAACACATGTGCATAACTAAATAATATCTAATTAAAACAAAAAATATGCTTTCAAAAATAAAGCTTTTGAAATTGTAGTTTTTAAACATTCGACGTTTCTATCGCATCTCTTGCCTGATTATATTCTCCTACTACTTTATCTATTTTTGACAATTTAACAAAATTGCAGTTTCTAGAATAGTAGTACCTTTTATCTGATTATTTTTTCTTGATTTCATTTATCATTTTCAAATTAAAATTGTGTTAATAATCAATGTCGGTAATTTTTGAAAGATCTCTTGCACTAAACCAAAAGGTACAGGTAGGTAAAGTCAGCAATGACTTTACCGAAAGTTAAACGTATATGTATGTTAAGTCTGCACAGTGACTTTATCGACATAAGCGTAATTAAAATTAAACATTTTGATCATTCCAACTTCCAAAGCTTTTTATTTATTGCTTTTTTATTTATTCTCTTCGTTTACAGATTTTAGTGCAAATAATACTGATGCTAACTTTATACTATACACAGTCATGATGCATGAAAATTCAGATACGATACTCGGGCTTCAAAATGACACAATTGTAGTGCGACATCTCATATATGAAGAGATTCATGAATGTAATCCAGGAATATAAAATCCCATAAAAAGAAATACGATGAATCAGAAGTAGTTGAGGATTGTTCGCGAAGAGGCTGATATTAAATCGGCGTTATTCAGTTAATGGGTGCATCATTCGCTAAACAGAGTGGCGTCAAAATGAGCAAGTAGGTATTATTTGGATACGGTTAACCTAAACTTAACCACCTGATGCGTTTTTTTTACATAAACGAACGTGATCTTTTGCCTCCCAGTCCTGAAAATAGAGAATCGAAAAAAGATGCCAGGCAAGGCCAGTCGAACAGCAGTGCGAGACCGCTGTCCATCGAGGGTCCTTCGACCTCCAGTAATACTAATGCCGAGCAAATCCCACCGCAACCGTTGCCGAATCAACCGAGGCAACCGACCAATTTGCAAGGACTACTCAAATATGCTATGGACGCGGCACAGTCTGAGGATTCGGAGAATAAACCATCGGTCTATCCTTTGGACGAAGAAGTACGAAATTTAATTTATAATATATTTACGCGCGTTATTTGTTTGTTTGTATTTAACGAAATATTCCTTACATTGCAGAAAAAAACATTCTTGAATGATGCGTTATCGTCGTTAACGGTGAACGTAGTAGAGGAACTGCAGAAAGCTGTACAAATCTTGTCTAATGTCGCTAATCTACGAGCGGACGACGATTCGTTGGAGTTTGAAAATGCGCTGGAAAGGATGGCGGATTACGTAGACAATATTGATATAGCCAACGACTTTTACAAGATCGGCGGTTTCTCGATATTTCAACCGTGCCTGAATTCCTCGCACAGTAACATCAGATGGCGGATAGCCGATATTATCGCCGAATTAGCGCAAAATAATCCATTTTGCCAGGACAAGCTACTGGAAGCTGGAGTATTTCCCGTGCTGTTGTCTATGATAGATGCGGATCCGTCGGAACAGGCCAGAATAAAAGCTCTGTACGCGGTGTCATGTAAGTGTGTTGGAACGACGCGAGGGGCGCGATCTTTCATTTCATTGATATTTTTATATTTTGAATGCAGGTATAGTAAGAGGGCATCCGGCGTCGTTAAAGTACATGGATACGAATGACGGTTACTCGGTGCTTTTGCGAGCGATGCAGAGTCCGGTGGAGAAACTACAGATAAAGTCCGCATTCTTACTCTCTAGTCTGTGCAGTAAGGATGACTCGAACGACGTAAAATACACCCTGGTAAAAATGGGATTCATAGAACAAGCGGCGGGATTATTGGGCAGAATGGACCTACAGCCGGCAGTAAGGTAACGTATCCGTGTAGCATTTCGAGGGAACGTAACGATTTCTAACATTGTTTTCCTTGCATCCGATATTATAAATCCAATATTTCTTTTTTACAGGGAACAATTATTAAGAGTGCTCAGTGGTATGGTGAACGATAATTTCTTGCCGGCGCTAAAGGAATGCCGCCGATCACAATTGTGTTTAAGATCCACTTTGGAGCAATTGCTGACGGAGTTGAAACCTGTGGAAAATCAGGACGAGATAGACATGTGCTCCGAACTTCTAGACAAAGTGTTTTCCGAGCCTGACACGAATCAAGAGAGATAACGAATTTGTATCTTAATTTTCCTCTTAAATAAACATAACGATATTGTATTGTGTAATACTAACATATATATCTTATAGTTTTAAATAATTCAAAGGAGTAAACAATGCGCGTAAACTTTAACGCAAATTATTTCTTATATTACCAAGCAAATCGATCAAAATATTTTGTTTCCGCAAATCAATGTTTAAATCAATTTTTGCCCCGCGATCGAGCGACTAAATTGAGCATTTGACGAAATTTGTTTTTGAAATCTTTCACGTTCGGAGTCGCGCGTAACTTCCTGTATTTTAAACACGTGCGTATGTCATACTTTGATAGTACGCGCGAATTTTTTCAGATTAATCCGATCAACGGAATGCTCACGCACATCCGGTGCGTCAATCAGGCGGTTCGTTTCATCATCCATCCCCCACCACGACCACCGCTGGCGTGTACTCCACTACTTTTCTCTGTCTTCCCCGATTCGCAGTGCTCTCTCCCGGCATCTCTCTTTCTCTCTCTCTCTCTTCCCTCCTGTCGGCGCGCATCTGGTCTAGTTCGCCGAATGTTAACCGGCTAGTACAGTCAGCCGGCAGCTCTCATCGGACCCTGACAAGTGATTCGACCTTTCGGGATTCTCCAAATGTCTCAGAAATACTTGAGCATACATACGTTCGAGATCACAGGACAGTCACGAGAAATCGATCTTTTTGGAGCGAATTTCCCCGATTGACTAGATCCGAAGATCGATCTTGAGGACCTGGCGCATCACCACGGAGTAGACACGTGGATAGTCGGAATGACAGCGAAACAGGAGCACCTCGTCGTTACAACACCACGCCGGCTGTCCGAACCGTTTCACGAATTAGTAAATTGAAATCACCGTGTGTTATCCGCAAGGAATCCAGAGACGCAAACGCGTGCATCGGCGCGATGATCGAGAATTGATTCAGTGATCATCGTGTGAAAGTGAAATCTGTCATCAATTCGATTATATGGAATTGCCGCTGATTGATTACAATCCGGCAAAAAGCTATCGGTGATCTCCTTCGACTGGCATCGAAAGGATATAGGATAATTATAGATCTTTATTTTGATAGAAAAAAATTTATTGTATATATCTAGAAAAAAGGATAAAAAATATGAGAAAACCGTTCGAATTGAAACGGATTTTTTATCGAGACATTCAGAGAATCCGAAGAGAGACTGATAAAATTTGGAGCAAAATATTTGAGCAGATATTTGCAAGATGAACTTTGTGATCATTTCGTAGTAACAAGATCCATTTATATAGATCACAATATGTATACGAATTCTTGACGATAGTAGAAATGTATCGTAGGACACTGAGTTTTTAATTTAAAAATGTTGCTTTGACATTTCAATACTATACTCAGGAACGAGACAGAAAAGAGATAAAGGGAAAAGGATATAAAAGAAGAAATAAGAAAGAAACACGGTTTGATCATTACCTGACTTTCTTTTTCGCAAGAGACCGCAGAAATGAATAGTACACAAGGAAACGAGCTGTGGGTATTCGGGTACGGATCGCTGTGCTGGTATCCCGGTTTCTCGTACACCAAAAGCGCGACCGGCTACGTGAGGGGTTTCAGCAGGCGATTCTGGCAGGGCAACACCACGCACCGTGGAACGATCGAAAAGGTGAGCCGAACTGTCCTTCGATCTTTCTCCTTATTCTTCTTTAATTAATGCCAAGTGCCATGTTCGTCATCGACTGACCATGTAGAATCGGTTCCATATTCAGAAACCTGATGCGATATTCAATGGATAAATTGAACCAAGCAGTTAGTTTTGCGAGGTGAAATTGCGTTTTAAATTTTTATAAGATCTGTTATTAATTGTGATTCTCTCTTTCGCCTTTGATGAAACGAAATCGGTACCAGAGATAGCTACCAATAATGTAATTTTATGTTTGACAAATAATCGAAATAATCTGAAATAAATTAATTTATTTCAGAAAATGTTGCGTATGTTACGTTATCTCAACGAGAATAATAAAAGTGCATTTCTGAGAAATTAATACACAAAAGTTAATACATATATTCGTATAAATGTATTATATAATACATTTATCGCATATTCGGTAAATGCTGAAAATTAGTAAATGTTAAGGAATCTTTTTGATAAGTTTAAAAATTTTTACTACTATTACTTATACTATTTTACGGTAGCTTCTCGCATATTGATGCCCGACTAATGCGTGCATCTTCGGTTCACGTGATAATAAAGATCGGAGGCAGCTGTACACGGACTTTGGATAAAGCAAACGTCCGTGGCAACGACCGTATCAATGCGATAAAATAGCAAATAAAATTTCATGGATGGAATAGGAATCCGTAATTAATTACGCTCTTAATCAGAGAAAAAAATAACGCGTCCTACATTCGCCATCGCATCGCTATACATATTTACATTGATGAATTTATTAATTAGTTCCGAAATATATCATGTGTCACATCCATTTTATGTATGTACCTATCATGCATCTAAGATGTATAAGCTTCTATATATGTATATATATATATAAAGGAATTAAAATTATGAAAATATTCAAAAAGTATAACTAATAAATTAGTATGTGTTTTCATAATTTATTTATTTTATGATGTTTTTACTTTTATCTCGGAAATTCATACTAAATTAGCCAAAATTGATTCGAATAAAAACAGAATTAAATTAATGAAAAAATTAAGTAAACAGGCAAAGTCAACGATTGCACTTTTTCCATTAAAAGTATTTGTAGCTTATCGTTAACGCTGTAAACATCTGCTACATCCAGTTATCCTTGGCGAACATATTTGCAGTATTTAGGTGTAATATATTGTTGCGTGTAAAAATATGTTCCATACATTATGCACGTGATTTTTATTTTGAGTCATTTACGAACTCTATTAATATCTGAATTTTATTGCGCTCGTCGAGGTATGTCGCGCATTCTTTTTCTGGCGCTGGCCTGATTCCAAACGTATACGATACATTTTTCGCGATCAATTATGCGGCTTGTCTCGACTTGATAAGAGTCCATCAACGTGTGTACGTGTGATTTTGATAAATCGCGCGGGAAAGATTGGAACTTGAAGGACGCGCTATGCGAACGTAACGTGCGCAAAGTAAAAATAGCATATTCGAAATTCATTTTGGCTCTCTCTTTGTTTTAACACACACAAGGAACTTTGCGCGCTTTGTCATTTCCTCCTTTGTTTCGTTTATGTTTCATCTTTTCTTTCTTTACCTTTTTGTGAACTGAAGAATAATAAAAAAAATGTCATTTTTGATATTTACAAAATAATATATTAACACGTCAATATAACCATCATTAAAATTAGTTATTTAAAAATCAAAATTGTAACTGAATACTTTATATTTTTAACATTACGATATAATATATTCTCAACGTAGAGTTTATGATGTATGTATATATTCCTGTTCCTGTCATAAGTTTCAGTCACGCGTTTTGATGTACGTACATACATCTACGGAGCAAATTAAATTATTTCTCAAAGGTTTTGCGTTTTTGAAAAACATAATTTCATATACATTATTCGAAATACAGATATGTCATGTCGTCGACTGAACGATCTTAAATAAAAAAGGATGTATTTTGAATTAGGAATAAATTTCAGATGAATTTTTTAATAAATCTATAATGGATACATAGAAAATCGCTGCTTTTATTTGGATATGAGATTTGTATAGAGACGCTTCTAGAATCCGTATAAAATGTCTTACATTTTTCTTCTTTGGGGAGAGAGAGGGTGAATGAATGTTGCGGTAACGCGTTTTGTGTTACACATACGTATGAATTACGTGAAATTGTATATATACAAGCAGTTATAAACCAGTAGTAACTGATATTTTCAATGAGAGATAAACTTCCTGTCGCGGATTATTCTTTGTTACGCATTTTGCGTTTCGCAACAGTGCGATATGCATTTTCTGCTTATAAACAAGTTTGCATTACGTATGATTGTATATAAACGCACGCGCGCGCGCGCGCGCGCGTGTGTGTGTGTGTGTGTATGTGTGTGTGTGTGTGTGTAACGTCTTTTATTAATCCCTTAATAAAAATTAGATGAATATGTGTATATTAGTGTCTGTTTACAGAGAAATTATACATATATTCTATTCATATACGAATTTCGTTCCACATCGAAAAGATTTTTAAACACATTTAATTCAATATATAATTCTTTTTAAATAATTCCTCTCGTATCTTTATCTTTCAACAAGATCAAATATTATATCGCTCTCTCCTTTATGTTGCAGCCTGGACGAGTCGCTACCCTAATCGAGGACAAAGAGGTACTTAATTTAATTATAACGCCTTGTATTGCAATGTAAATCTCGAGAGTCACGTGCAATATAGATTTTTTTAAATTCGTTGACAGGCAATAGTTTACGGACGAGCATTTCAGCTTCAGGACACCGCGGCGTTATCCTATTTAGAAAACCGCGAATGCTCCTTAGGAGGATACCTGACGACCATCGCGACATTTCACAGCCGGGACGGGAATAAACAATTCCCCGTGGTAATTTACATCGCCACCAGCAAAAACGAGCAGTGGCTCGGCGAGGCATCGGTGCAGACTATAGCGTGTCAAATCACCGAAAGTTCCGGTCCGAGCGGACATAACGTCGAGTACCTCTTACGGTAAGAGATATATGTATATGTATATGAGATACATGTATATAAAATGCAAGATCGTTTTCCAAATTTATCATTGTCTGATACTCGACACGTTGATGACGTTACGAAATTATAATAAAACGATAAGATGTCTGACTCGTGTGTGACAGCTTGGCGGAGTTTATGCACCGTTACTTGCCGGAGGCGCACGACGAGCATCTCTTCACGCTGGAAATGTTGGTGCGCTCGCGAATAAAGGAGGAGAACATGTGCCTGGTGACGCTGATGGGAAATCGCGACTTCGTCATCGACCTCGACGAGGACGCGGAATTGGCCGTTCGCGCGGAGGAAGTTAACGAGCGGCCCCGAGAGAACTCCTTCCAATTCAGCGCGCGGATTCCGTCCAAGAGTTTACGTTGTGTAAAAATGTAGACAATTCGCACAGTTGTATTTTTCAACTTTAATCGCAACACCGTATGTGCAGTATGATAATGAAACAAGCGGTAATTTATTTTTTTTACAAAAGAAATAATTCGAGTACAAACTTCCGAATGTATAAAAGCGCGAGCTAATAATGAAATCACATTCTCGTAGAATCTGAATTTTGAATTGCAGGGTCGACAAACAGTTACTTGAAGAGGAACGTAAAGAAAAGAAGCTTTACGGTCTAAATTTAAAAAGCAGCCAGTTTGCAAATTTCTTCGAGAATATGATCTCATTGCTGGTATACGTTTCCTTTTGACGCTATACATATATATGTGTTTGTGAGACGGCTGTGTTAATTTTGTATCATGCAACGTGCTGGACACGTGCACACCTAGATCGAATTTCCTACTATTTTATAAGACTACTCTATTACGTATTATTTTTAATTTAAAAGGATATATCTCTTATTATTTTAATATTGAGAATTATAATTACAATGCAGATGCGGATAATAATAAAAAGATAGTCATTTCATTCAAATCGCGAAAATTCTAAAATCTGAGACGTGAAGATAAAAAGAAAGGCATTTGTAATTTATGTGTGAAACACACTTGTCGAAGACCATTTTCCTCTTTTAAACGTTTGACTTTAATGACATTCTATATAGTATTGCAAATTTAGTACATTGATTTAATTCTATACTAACATATTAATTCATATTGTACATATATTTATTTCTTTAAAAATTATATTTTTAGAGAGAATTTAATGTTATATTGTATAAACATGTAAATAGAAACTATTAATAATTTATATATACATATGTGTAGCATATTTATAAAATTTGAAATGTACCTTTTGCGTGTAAGATAAAAACTAAAAAGCACAAACCTCGAAGTTTTAACATACGTTGATAAGTAGGAAAATTATTGACGTTGATAAGTAGGAAAATTATTGACCCTCGATATGCTAGCGACTCTGCGTTTGTATTTTGCTATCGATAAAATGGCTATCTTCTTGAAATTATTCCTAATAATTTATAAATATAATAAAATTTTTTACTTAAATATATAATCTATATCTCGTTGGATAGATATAGAAAACTATTTTTCTTATGTTATCTCGAAGCTCATGTTAGCTAGAAGATTATTATGATACAAGTACTTCATCTGTGTCCCCGTTTCATTCCGCTAATGAAGATCGTTTGATGGAAAATTTTACATCACCTATATGTTTCTTAAAACACTTTTGATCCGTCAAGAAATTTATGAACGGTACATCGTAATATGGAACAGCCATTCATGCAGCCGCTTAGACTCTTCCATGAATATTAGACTGACCATCCTACGGAACGTTGCGCTGCATTTTAGCTACCATTATTTTACGTAATAATTCGAACGTTCAAGTTTTAGAAAAAAAATTTCCTGGAGAACACATTCGATAACAGTATTCTAACGGAATAATCGTATCCGCTCCGCGTCGTTCCATTAGCGATATTATGTCTATAATTGCGTTAATATCGATTTAAATTGTTGAAATGATCGGAAACACTATATGCGTTTCGCTGGTAATCGAAAGAAAGCGACCGCCGAAATTTGATGAAGAAGACTGTACGTGTTATTCTATTTGTAATAATTAATTAACAATTAAGTACAATATCAAATATTAAATTTAATTTAGACAACAACATAGAACAGAATATTTTGTTTTTAAACTTTAATCAAAAATATGCCGTGGAAAAAGAAGTAATTTAAAGCCATTTAAGGCCTTAATCTCTTTTGAAAAAGTACAAGTTGATAACGTATGTATTTACATATGTAAGCTATTTAATAAAATATTTTCTAATCTAAAAGGTCGTAGCGAACTATTCGTAAAAAAAAAGACATTTTGGATGCGGTCCGATCATCGTATTCGCGATGCAGTTACACGCCACGGTCTCGACTTAAGTCTCTAGGGTATATTCCAAGTCACGCGTTCACAGGCGCGAGTCGGGCTTAGAACGGGTTTACGTTAGACATTTATCGCGCGACACTGCAGAAAAAAAAGAAAGAGATACTCACGCAGTTCGTCTCCGTAACGCAAAAGAGACCTATACAACGCTTGCTTCTCACGCATCTTTTTTCCCCGCTCGATCAGTAATCGGAAATATAAATAGCAATTTCGCATAGCGTGTTAGATTCATATATTATCGGAGCAATTACGCTTAATTTCTCTTATCAGCTATTCTCTAGCGAGACTAAAGCAAAAACGTTATTTTTCAAAATTATCAGATATTAGTAATCGGACGGTCATATATTTTTTATTTCGACAGCGATCATTCTTCGAACAAATTTTAATTCACCTAATTCTTACGACGGAACGTTACGGCAATCTATAATCCGATTCTTCGGCGTTACGTCAGATCGAACATTGTTTTAGTTATAGATGTCGATTTCTTACGATAAAGAGAAATCCGTCTGTACTGTTAAAGTTGTTTCAAGCCGACTCAAACAAATAATAACGACTTACCGGCACGGTCTTTACAGAATGGACATATACCGGCGTCCGTCACGCATCGCGACGTTAGAACCAGCCAGGTATCTCAGGGATAACGTTACTCGGTAGCACAGTGTATCTACTGTCCTGTAATTGCTATTAAGAATACCGAACAAATCGATTAAAACCTCTTTACAAATAATATGAAAATCATGTTAAATCCTTTTTCCAAAACCAAGAGAATCGAAAGTCGCAGAAAAAAACAACACATCGCCAAATCCTATTAATATTTGAGCTTCTAAATATAATTTAAACTCGTATCGCTTTATATTATATATTTATAATATATTATATAATTTTTGTACAGTAAAATGATAATTGCATGCGTCATAAAATATCGTTAAGATGAAACATAAAATATATTTGCATTTGATGGGCGCGTCAAGTTGAAGTCATTTGTCACGAGCGTACGACGAAAGTAAGACGAGTGTTTTTTCTTTTCCGAAAGCCGCGTGTATCGCATGAAAATTTACGTAACGACGTGCCGTGCTGTCTGTCCTCTTGTTGCAATGATATTTACTGTGAAAAGCGAATGAAGACGCTGCTGCATGCAACAAATTGGATATAGTCGGCATGAAGAAGTTAACAACTCGCACACGAGCCAACTCGAGCGTGTACGGAGTATACGCTTCGTTTCGCTGAAATAATAACGAAGATCCCCAGACTCGGCCCGTGTCGTCACGGTGTAAGCAGGAATTTCTTGTGCTCTCCTTTCCTTTAGATTTTCACCAAAAATTACAAAAAAGTTCCCGCAAACGTCGACCGCGAATGAAACTCCGAGCGTACGGAATTAATGCAAGAGACGTGCAACTCGGAAGACTTAGAATTGAATTTCGCAAAAAGCCGCGTCTTCGTTGCGCAAAATTGTTTGTAACGGTAGTTTCGAAAAAACTGAAATCATCCGTTTTAATTAACGTGCGATAACTCGTGTGATCTGCATATCAACGGTTTCTCGTTTACTAATTCGAAGAAATCCACCGCGGGAGACTGTCCGATTAAATTTACAATTTATCTATTTTTATCGATCCATCCTGTATTTTTAATTCCTCTGAGTATTGTTCTGGAAAATTAGTCAAGTTCGAATCTCTCCGAATGATTATCGCAAAGAAGTGACACATGCGACATCATGTTGACACCCAAGGGCTCTTCAGGGCTATGAGTGGTATGAGTACAGCGAATTGCTCAGCTCGCGCAAGAAACGTCCTATACGTAGAACCAATCGATTTTATTTCACGTCGCGTTTTCAAATGCTTGTCTCAACGATTGACAAATCAACGATCCAGCAATGCCGATCGCGCCCGCGCATGAAAATACGCAGGCAATAGCGACAAAAAGTTTGTTAAGGCCATGCGCCAGGAGCTCAAGGAGCGTAAAATGTGGCACGTTACACCATGCAACGTGACGATTTCCATCGCTCGCTGTTATGATCAATAAAATGTCTTTCCGCGTCGCAAGTGTGAAAAAGGTTGATAACAAATAATCGCATTATTTTTCCTTCTTTCCTTCATTCTTATTAGTTTCTAACTTATCTAATATGAATTATATTATATATTGCTAGAGTTAGTAATCTAGCTAATATTTTTAATGTTAATTTTTCCTTGGTTCTTTTTTGCATAAATCTAAGAACTGTCTTTTTTCCTCCTTTTTGTAATAATTTATTTCTCTTATTTCTCGCTACGATTGTTTAATATTTATGCGTTATATTAAAATATTTGAACACGTACGAAAAGATTAAAGAAATCCTTCATGTCAAAGATGATACCAAAGTAATCTTTTTCAATTCAAAGTTATAATTGAACAAAAATTATTTTTAAGTCAATTAATTGCAATAAAAAAGCAACGTAACGCGACGTTGGCATTCTGTCGCGTTGCTAACAATTAATCGTAACTATCTGCTTTGTAAATATAACACTAGTTACAAACGTCTCAGAGAAATTTCTCTGAGAAACGTGCAACCGCAAGACAATGCCGTGGTTCCCGTGGATCATAAATACACGAATCAAACCGTGCATTAACATACATCTTGCCACAATTACACGCGTTTCTTTATTATTACACGTCGAAAAACTTTCGCTGCGCAGACATTTATATTTCCTGCCAATTTCCACGGGACGCACACGTTACAGCTAGCAACTTTTTTCTCATGCACTTCTCTGCCGTATATCCGGTTTACGATTCGGGAAAGAAGAGATCAAAATTATTGCAACGATGTTATCGAAACGAGGATAATCTACATTATCTACAACAACTCTGCTCGCGTAGATTTTTTTTTAAACAGTTGTTATATAATGATTGTATTATCAATTAATATGTTTTGAGGTTTTATAAACAACGCGAATGAATTGCCACGTCAGGCAATATGCTAATAATGCGAAAATGAGAACGGGATATCCATCGGGTCATTTGTCGAAATTAATTTCCACAGTGTAATAGGTATGAAACGCAGCAATCGGGTTAATATGACGGTTCGCGTAATTGTTTGTCCCCGTTAATGCAGGCCGCACAAATGAAGCGCGCAAATCCCCGGATCGGCGCGGCGCGAGAATTCTCTCCGGCGTGCATAATTAACGCTTCGGCACTGGCACATCTTTTGTATCATTTATGCGCGCCGTTGCGTAATGACGTATCGATTAATCGGACTCGCGATTTCGCCCGGATCACCCGCGAGATCCGTACGTAACGCACGCACGTTTAACGTTGCATTTATCATACCCGCGCGCTCTCATACGGCTTAATTAATAATTCAATGTCACGCCGTAAAACGCGAACGAACGCGCGGATGTTTCAATGTGGCGGCCAAAGAGAAAGAACGAGCGTTTGCCCGACGTCGCACAAAGGCGCCTAATTTAGCTGAAATTCTCGCCACGTCGTCATTATCCCGCGCGACTGCGGTGCACCTCGTCGATCATTTAACGGCGGCCATTACTGCGCCGGTGCATCAATTAACTGCATTCGTGCTTCTCCTGTAGCTTTATACGTGAATATACATATATATATATGTATATACGCACAGGTAACAGCGTGGAGAGAAAAAGAGAGAAAAAATTTCTGTGTAGAGGCGCGCGAACGAGTCCCTTGGGCAAAATAATATATTCTCATTCGATATGCCACATCGATTCTGCTCCCCGTGAAATTTGCAGGAGTATCTACCACTGATAATCTCCCCAATTTACTCGTTTCGAATAATGATTTATCTACAAGCACAACTCTCTCTTACAACTTTTGTCACTGACTAAAACATTTTGTCA